TCTCTCTGGAGTGAAACTCAGTGTTGAGGTTGAGCACAGCTGGGCTGCAGGGGTACCAGTTGTGCTTGTACAGCGAAGCACCGGAAGCTTGTGAAACCTGAAGAACCTTTTCTGAAGCTCTCTGTATTTGAACAGCTTCTCTGGATAAAAGCCAGGAAACCAGAGAAGGTTACATAATGCGTTACATGCAGAGTAAACATTTTTCAGAAATGGAAATGCAGAAGACCAGTTTACACTGAGCTAGGACTGTGCTGTTAAAAATCTCCATAAAAACTTATGCAGTAAATATTGTAGCAAGATATAGCACAGCGTTAAAAAAGGAGTTGACAGGAGGATCAGTAGAAAAAAAAACCCACTATATTTTAGATCTATGTAGACAGACTGCTGCATTATATATTCATTATATACATATATTATAAAAATACTTTTGTCAGTAAAATACAACATAACCTGTTCATTTTCAGTAGCTTTCCTAACTGTAAGAGGCTTCCCACCTCTTTTCTCCTTTCTGATACTGCTTTGTACACTTAGACTTTTGCATTGCAGAATTCTGATTGGATTTCATTTGTAAAGCTAGAGAGCAGCATAGGGCAAAACAGGATCTTCTGTTCTTGATATGCATTGCCAGATCACCCCGTGTAATTCTTATTTCTCTCAGCATGCAGAATAGCAAAGGCAGCTTACTGTGCATCACGTCTCGAAAATATTTATATAAACTGAATACGTTCAACACAACAGTTTACAGATGACAGTGCTTTATTCTGTTTTCAATAGTGCTTTAGGTAACTTGGACATATTAAAGTTTGATACAAATGAATATATACTAGAGCTGAGCAGCATTTAAGTTACACTTGGACCCTTGTAAGTGTGATATATTAGTACATACACTACTTTTTTGTTGAGTAAACTTTTTTTTTCTGCTCTAGTGAATAATATAGACACTAAAATCCTTGTCTTTCTGTTCAACCCAGGACTGTGTTGCTATCAAACCAATGATGCAAATAACATTTAGAGCTCAAGAAGCAAACAAGTGGCTTAAACTAGGATATTACTTTCCAAAAGCTTTTTAAATGGATTTTCTCATGCATCATTTTTTTTTTTCATTGTTGGTACTAAAGCCGTTGGCACTTAGACAAAAGTAAGGATAGGATTATTAGCTGCTTTTCATGATGGAATTTAAGAAATGACTTTTCATGTTAAATTGCCAAAGACATTCTCTTAGAGGTAAAAAGCTACATTCATATATATAGCACATGAAAAAAGTTAAAAATAAGATTAGTTTGGTACTGATCTTTTTCTCCCTCGGCATTTTTTTGCATAGAAAGGTTTTCATGTCTGTACCTTCTAGGTCTGTATTTTTATTTTGGAAACTTTAGGGAGTTGTGGGTCACAAAAGCATTGAAAGTCACTGAGTCTGTTTTGACACATTTTTTTTTTCTCTTGGGTTAGAGCATGGCACACAGTCCTTGTTCTGTAAAAGTATTCTCCCAGCTTGAGAAGTCAAAAAAGTCTGTAGGGGGACCTTATTTTGGAGACTCTTTGAAGACTTACAGAGACTATTCCAGACTCAGTTACTCTTCGTTTATTTCTGTTGTACAGCCTCAAAAGTGGGAGCATAAAGACATATACCCACTGAAAAAATACAGTTCGTGTGTTCTGTTGAACTGCTTTTCATGGCTACTGCTGGGGTAATGTGGGGAAAACCAGACAGGAGAAGAAGGAAAACCTAAGAAAAGCTCATGATTAAAGTTTTTGCATTTTGCATGGATAAATGCTTTACTACTACTACTATGGAAGGTTTTTTTTTTCTCCTTAAAAACCTATTTGCACTGTGTAGGAGGAATGTGGATCTGAATCGCAGCCAACAGTTATATGAAGTTGAAAAAACCTCATAGTATGAAACAAACTAGTTGGTACTTATTACATACATAGAGCTGGAATAGAATGAATCCATAATCCATCAAGAGAGGCATTTCCATGGTGGAAAAAAATAGATAAATGTAGAAGGAGTATCCAATATAACCCTTCTAGCAATTTTCTTTTTCAGTATCATTAAAATAAGATACATTGCTATTTGATAATATAGTGTCCCAGTAATTCAAAGAAGCGCTGCTTTATAAATATGCCCCTCTGCCTCCAAATGGGGAGAAACTGCAAGGCTTGGAGCTGCTTTTCCCAAAGATGTTTAGATATATGGTGCAATATATCTATAAATGAATAAGGCTAATTGTAAAGGGAAAACAGATCAGTGCAACTTTTATATATATAAATATATGTATAGCATGTATATATATGTGTATGTGTGTGTGTATATACATACAAACCCACATATATATATATACACACACACAAATGTTTGTTTTTTAAACAGGACAGCTATTGAAAGCACCAAGACAGAGGTAAGTTTTAAAAACAATGCATATGTCTGCTCAGAAATTTAAAAACAACACAGTTCAAACATTGCTGAGAATTTGCTACTGTCCATATATAATCTTAAATCGAAGGCATGGTTTGTTCAAACTATGTCCATGGTATTTATTGACTTGTGCTTCAGGTTTGCGGTGCGATGGAGCCGTGCTGGAAGCTGGCGCTCTGCTTTGTGGGCCTTGGCGTTGCCTCCGGAGGAGCGGGGCGGGAGGGCCGCTACATTGCGGCCGTGTACGAGCACGAGTCCGTGCTGAGCCCTAACCCCGCCGCTCTCGTTGACCGACGGGCTGCGCTGGCGCTAATGGCCAGAAACCTGGACATCTATGAGCAGCAAGTAGTGGCGGCTGCAGGACAGGTACGGTGCAGCTGGGTAGTAGTAGTGCCCTAGGTATCCATGGAACAAGTGCTGTTGGAGGATCATCTTCCCCATTGGGGTTCCCAGGCAACTAAAACCATATTTATATACATATATACATAGGGGCTGTTTTTTTAGTCATTCTGACCTGCCCAAAGCTTTGACTAAAATCAGGCCAATTAGCAACTGGCCCAATTGGAGTTATCTGAAGCTTGGAATAGAAAGTTTAAAGTTATTTTGTATGGGAAAATGGATTTTCTATTTTGGTCTGAATATCTAGTTCCTTTTTGCTTTCTTAAATAGAAAGCTTTTATTGAAGAAGTTGCCATACAGACAGCTGTCTCTTTGTCTGATTTTATTCCAGTGCTCTCAGTGGAAATATGTGACCGACTGTTTCTAAAACCTAAAGCAGTTAAGCTCTTTGGAAACCAATGTTCCACTATTAACAGCTTTGTGGAAGTAAAGTTTTCCATTCCTTTCTCCATGGCATGGTCCTCTGTTTAAATATTTTTCAAGCAGACAGACTGTTATTTCTGGTTGCTCACATGCATAGCTTCCTTCCCTTCTCTCCCCAGGAAAAAGCTAAGGGTGCTAGTCAGAGAAAATAGGCCAGAATTATCAGACATGATAACATGTCGGAATGTTATCAGAAATGATAACCTTATCATTTTAATGTAACTTGAAAATGTGGATATTTTTCTGAGTTTGGATGACTGGGCCTCATAAACTGGATACATAACAACCATTTTTATATAACACTGCATTCAAGGTGTTGAATGACCCCAAGCCTCCAAACCACAGATGCTCTTTTGAATCCTACTGCTGTCTGCATGGCTGATGCTATGCCTCATTTAAGAGGAATTCACCATATTTTTAGTAAGAGATATCCTTGAACTCTCAGTAGAATCTAGCAGGGCTACACTGCTCAAATGCAACTTGCTCCCACCCTTAAGCTGTTTCTGAAAACATTACTTCCAGTGAATATAACAGTACTCCAACCCTATGTATCTCAAGTGAGGAAACCATTTCTGACCATTTCTGGTCATTAAAATAAGTGCTGCTGCACCTTTGACACAGTTCATCTATAAATGGGATAGTTCTGGAGAGCTAAAATAAATTTTATCGTGGCTATTCTTTAACTTGAATAATTACACTTTAACCTGAATGGTGGCATTCTTATGACACAGGATGATGGAGAGTATTTCTGGTAAGAATGTGGATGAAGGCTGCACTTAACTTGCACGCTCTTAGAATACAATCAGGTTTTTTTTATGCTAAAGTATGTCAGGTTAAATAAGCTTCTTCTGATGCAGATGGCTATACCTACTGTGCTGTTAAAGGAGGAAGAGCTACATCCAAACAACATTCAGGTCAAAACATACTTGGGATATCCTTGATTGGGATAGGGTTATGATAGAGTTTTGGGTTATCCCAGAAATTTACTGAAGAAGGTTCCCTTTTCTTTTCTGTCATTGCTAGCATTCAGAGGATTTTGCTGTCCCCATAAAACATGCCTTTGTTTTACATACAGGGGGCCCAGATCATTGTTTTTCCTGAAGATGGAATCCATGGCTTCAACTTCACCAGAAGATCTATTTACCCTTATTTAGATCTTTTTCTGCCTGCGCACTCTGTGGAGTGGAATCCATGCAGAGCGCCGCGCTTGTTCAATGACACAGAGGTAAACAGGGGAGGATTTTCTGTACATACCTGAAAGAACATGAGCTTATTTAACTTCATGAGCTCTCTGGGCTTCTTAAATTCCCCCCAACCCGAATCTTAGGTAATAACCTGTTTAGTGAGATACATTGTTAGTAGTTTAGGGTGAATCAAAAAGAATATGCTATTTTATATAAAACAATGTTCAAAATATATCTTCTTTTTTGGTTCATTCCTGGTACTCAGTTTTAATGAGTTCTTTTGCTGGTAGAAGAGCATTCCAATTCCATGGTTGCATGTAAAATCACACACACAGAGTAACAAGACTAGATCAGGAGCCCTGCTATAAGGCCACAGCATCCTGGACTAAAATGGCAATTTACAGAAGGTGGTCTGCAAGTTACAAAACCAGTGTTTTCTCCTATTCTGCTGAATTTGAAGTGAAAATAACTGTGCTTAGTAACACAAGCTACATTCCTATTAGGGCTGCAGTAGTCAATATAATGACAATGCACACATGCATAATTGCTTATTAAGAAGGCAGAATTTGCATGCAAATGTGAATCAGAGTTTAACTGCTGACCTACTTAGACCTCTGAATCTTTATTACCAGTGATTGGGCACAAGAAATCAAGAATTTAGCTTGACATTTGAGTGCTGTTTGAAATTTGCAGTACAGGGGTTCTTTGGGTTTTGCTCTACTTAGCCTGAACAAGTGTGATTCAAGACATGGAATACATGCATGGAAAGTTTATATATATATATATAAAATTTTCACATGCTATTGTAATTTGCCTGTATCCACTTTCTTTAAAGATGACAAAACAGTAATATGTTTAATTCCACTCCGTTATGCTACTTGGATCTTTCAGCACTATCCCCAATGCCAAATTTCTCATTTCAGTAGAACTGCAAAAATATAAGATTCAACTTTTATACAAAATACAACTTTAAGCTGCAATGGTACCTCATCATAACCTAAAAGCCATTCAGAAACCTCCCTTCAGTCTGATTTAAGGCAGCTGATAGGTCTGGATGCTGCAGTACAGAGTAAAGAAGTCCAGAGAGGTTTGGGTCTCCAAAGCCAGGATATGGGGTTCATCCTGAGCAACAGACTTAGCTGCTCAGCAGCATTATTTAACTTGGGGAATGAACCTTAGCCACATCTTAAGTGCTAATAAGTTATTTGTACTTGTTTGTTCAGAGTTAGCTCCAGCTATCTGTATCAAGCTGCATTGTACTGGGCACACTTATCCCCAAAGAAAATGAACCATAATGTACAGATTTCTACAGCTTGGAAAAAACATCCTAACAGCACCATAGTTTAACTTTTAGTATTTCTTTTCTACAACTAAGCAACACACATTTGTTTATAGCTCTGCTTCTACAGTTGTAATTATTAACTGGCAAATATTTTTTAATTTAGAGAAATATATGTAAATGCAAGAACAAAACCATTGCAGGTACAAATGATCACTGCTTGAGATTTGCCTTTCCAAATCTGCACACACAGACAAGTTATGCCATCTTGTCGAAGGTTTCAGCTCACCTACCGTGTTTTTCAGCTCTTGTACCAATCAGAAGTTTCTGAAAATTCAAACCCTTAAAATATGAGATACATTTATTTATTTATTTATCTTTCACTGGAAGCAAAACTCAGTTCTGGTTTGAATTTGGTATCTGAACTGCACATTTTGGTTTAGAAAGCTACCCGTTCTAATAGCCTTCACCACAAAATTATCAGTATATTTAAGCTTTACAAATGAGATGAAATGAGTTCAATTTTCAGTTGAAAATGATGTGAAAAGTATTAAATATGTCCTAGTTGCTTAAGTATTACTTACCTCTCCAGTTTCTGAAGTGTTTACATTCTCCCAAACTGTCTGTGCAGGTCCTTCAGCGGCTAAGCTGCATGGCCTTGAAAAACAAAATATTCCTAGTAGCAAACTTGGGAACCAAGCAGGCCTGTGAGCATGTGGATCCCCACTGCCCCTCGGACGGGAGGTACCAGTTCAACACCAACGTGGTGTTCGACGCTGACGGAGCGCTGGTAGCTACGTATCGCAAGCACAACTTGTATTTTGAAGATGCTTTTGATTCCCCTCCAGAGGCTGATTACGTGCTCTTCGATACCCCTTTTGCTGGCAAGTTTGGCATCTTCACTTGCTTTGATATTCTTTTCTTTGAGCCTGCGGTGAACCTTGTCAGGCAATACAACGTGAAACAAGTTGTCTATCCCACTGCCTGGATGAACCAGCTGCCGCTGCTGTCTGCTGTAGAATTCCAGCAAGCTTTCGCAACCGCTTTCAACATCAATGTTCTAGCAGCTAACATCCATCACCCGGCCTTGGGCATGACGGGCAGTGGCATCTATACTCCAGTCAAATCCTTCATCTACCACAACATGCAAAGCTCTGGTGGCAAACTCATAGTAGCAGAAATCCCTGTCATTACCCCAGATCACAAAACCAGTTTGGAGAGTAACAAAATACTTGGAGAGAATTTATATCACTCATACTCAATGTTTACAAGCGCCTCGATGGATGATCAAGTTTGCTACAAGGAGGGACAAGAAGTCCCCTGCAGGGTATCACAAAGTGAAGAGTCACTGCCCCCATTTTATGCAGAAATGATGTACGACAATTTTACTTTCGTTCCTGTACAGGAAGACAAAGGAGAGCTCAAGGTCTGTGCCAACACGCTCTGTTGTTACTTGCGTTACCAGCGAGCTGCTTCAACCCACGAGCTTTACGCCCTGGGCGCCTTTGATGGGCTCCACACCGTGCACGGCACCTACTACGTGCAGGCCTGCGCGCTCGTCAAGTGCGGCGGTCTGCGCTTCAGCTCCTGCGGCCAGGAGGTCACGGATGCCACTGCTTCGATAGATTTCCAGCTCTGGGCAAACATGAGCACTCCTTATGTCTTTCCTTTACTGCTCACCTCCGGCGTTACCTTGGAATTTGCTGACCGCATGGGCTGGAAAAATGACCACTATTTCATAAGCAAAAATGGGACATCCTCTGGCCTACTGACAGCTGCTTTATATGGACGCTGGTATGAGAAGGACTAGTCGCACAGGTATGTGACTGATGCAGAAAACTGCCATTCAGCTTTTCAAGGAATATACCTTAGCGTGTAACAGGTAGCAGGTTTCTCATTTGAAGGGATAACCAAAGCGCTTGGTCTGAAAGGCTCTACACCATCGTGTGCTGCATCTTGAACACTTACGTCCCAGAGGAGCAACAGAACAGCCCTGCAAACATAAGAGCTTGTGTTTTGGAAAAAACTGCTGCTTACTTTAGCTGAATTTTCTTATTTTAATATATAATCCTTTTGGCTTCCTGCAATCCTAGTCGAGGTTATCTTAAGTCTCTTCCTCAGCAACATTTGCTGATTCTAGTTCTGCTTTTATTATTAAATTTAGCCGGGAATTTCAAAGGGGTGAAACTATGCTCTAATCATGCTGCATAAAAATTGCAGCCAGTTGTTTCTTTCATGTTTGCTGATGACTGCTGAAGAATTACATTTTTCTTTTGTTACTCTAATGAGAAATACAGAAATTGTTGTAATAGGCTCTGCTAATCCTGTCATGTCTCAAGCTGAGGAAGAAAACAATATAATCTGAATGGAAAACCATTATAAGATGGAGAAAAATGGAAGATTTAAAGTAGCAGAAGTAGCATGCGACATGGATGAAGCAATAGAGCATGCATATGGTGAGGTTCTGATTTCTGCCTAGAGTACAAGGATTTTTTTTCTGAGTGTCAAACTCAAGTTTGGCACCATTTACTGGCAAATCATCTGTAAATCCATTCAAAATCTGTTTCTTGTATATTTGGAGAGTAATTGCATTTCAGTGTTGTAAAAATCTATGGAACAATTAGTCTGGTGGAAGAAAAAAAAATCAAATGAATGTGAAAATCTACACAGCCTTGAGATAATTTCCATCCTGCTGTGCAAGGCAGTGTGCTTTACAAAAGCTCAGCAATGAATATCTACACCTCTCCTATATACTATTTAAGTATTTCAATTTTCCCTATTTAAGGGAGAGGTCATTTCAAGACCATTTTGGCTTTGAGACATCTTCCACATTGCTTATAAATTCATTCAACAAAGCTGTGAGAAAAACATAATGAATTGTGGGATGGTTTGCAAGGTTTTTACATGAACACTTGGTGCCAGACGGCAGGTTCCTGCTGTGAAAAGAGTAAAATATACCACTCTCTCCACAGCAAGAACTAGATTAAGTACTGTAAAAACTATATCATGCTGTCTAAGTTTTATTGTAGTGAGGGAATTAGGAAGATTTGAAAAAAAGTAATATTTTTGCATTAAGAAAATAAATTATTCTTAGGCTCTATAATTTTGTACAGTCTTATTGGCTATTAGGACTTAATCCATGTGATGGGTATTCAGTGACTAACCTGTTAGCATGTTTTTTTCCTTGCTCTGTGGTCTAGTTCCTGAATTTTTAAGTTGCATTTTAAATGCTGAAAGATGATGTGCTCTCATAGAACATCCACAATATTTTGTTTTACAAAAAGAAGGAACCTTCTGTTTCTTGACCTTGCATTAAGAAAGTGGACTTTTAACCATGATATCACGCACCTTAAACCCATCACGTTCCACGTTTGGGATAGGACACATTCTGGTAGGAGCCTGCACCTTTACTCACAAGGCTCACTCATCATCCCACTCACATTGCTAGACAGTATGAATCTCCCCCAACACGCTTTTTCCTTTCTTTTTAAATAGCAATGACCAAAAACATGGAAGTTGAAATCTGTGTCATCACTGGATAAATTCTAGTGACAAAAAGATACAAATCATGTACTTCTGAATACCTAAATGGAACTACCAATTTGTAGTAAAAAGCAGATGAATCTTTAGATCTAAAAAACAGATTCAGAAAATGTTTCCCAAAGAAACGTTACTGAATGTGACCAGAAAGCATACTTACTCCAGATGGGAGCAGTGATGGAAGTGTGGGGAGGCGTGAGTTCTGCCTGCTGAGGAAACAAGGATGGTGAGCAGTACAGCTTTCCGCATTTCCCTGTACTCCACATCCAAACCACGGGCTTTTGAGCCAGCACTCTTGGAGCTTTTTCAGCTAATCTAGCCAGGCAAGCAGTGAGTACAGAGTTCTCGGTACCAACAGTGTCCTCAGCCTCTGCTGCCGTCACGAAACAGGGTTTGGAGTAAGGCAGGAGGTGCCGTCCCATACGCTGCCCTACGCAGTGGGCACTGCCTACTGAGGTAATTACCAGGCCATCTCGGAGCCGCGTGAGAGTCAAGCACAGACAACAGCAGCCTTTAATGCCAGGTCCTCGCAGTTCCTTTGCAGCAACGTAAATCCAACAGCTTCATTAACAGAAATGAGCAATCGTTACCTGGTAAGTACAAGCAAGCAGACTACGGAGCAGTCCTGATTTTCCACAAGAATATGAAGGAAAGTGAGACCGTGCTGCTTTAATCTTGATATTTAAATAGATCTCAAATTATCTCATACAGGTCTTTCAATTACTACCTGCGTCCTCAGCTGGGGCACAAATCCCCATACTCTGAAAGACTTAGAGTAACCTAAGGCAGAAATCATGGGAGCCATTTCCTCCAGTCATCTAATTCCGCTGAAAGACAAACAACATATTGCACATACAGTCAATGAACACGGACACAAAGAATGAAGCAATACTTAAAAGAAACCTGAATGGTAAATTATGTAATTTTTCCTTTAAAATGACTGCAAAAGCTGCATAGCTCACCTTTCACTTCAGATTTAAAAGGATAGCAAAGTCTTTGTAAAATAGACTATAAATTCTAACAGTTAAAACAAAAGAGACTGCCAGAAGTGCTTAATAGATACAAATAAATTATTCATTAGTACAACTCACATTGGGGTTTTATTATACTCCGTAAAATATACAGGAATCTTGATGTACTGAAAGAGTGCAGGTAAATACAGTATTCAAGCAGTCACTATTTCTATGTACATGCTCATTAATTCTTCAAAAAACCCACAAAATTATCAAATAGATCAAAATATTGTCCCATGTTTCCACACTATGTTCAGAAAACCAGCTGATAATTTACAATATCATAAATTTCCAGTTTCACAATACAAAAAGGATAAAAAGGAAATTCGACTCAGTTTGTAGTAATTTATTTGTACTTTACCAGAACATGCAAGAATTCCTTGCATGTACATAAACAAATTCACTTGAAAAGTAACAGTTATAGTTAAAGCAGAACCAAATAAAGTAAATACTCATATTTAACAGACAAAACTTCAGTTTACTTATGTCAGTCTTTCTTCAGGCAACTGAAAAACCACAGTAGTCTGTTATAAATTAAGAAAAAAATAAAATCTTCGGGCAAATCTGAACTACTTTACAGGGACCTGTTTCTTCTGATTATTTTCTAAATGGAGCACAATAAAGATACACAGCTCTTCCCACAGACCAGACACGGTACTTTTTGCTAATAGGGAAACATACTTTTAAATTTACCTCCCCTCCCCATCCCTTGTTTGTTTAAGAAAAAAAAAAAAAAAAAAAAAAAAGGGCCGGGGAAAAAGTGATAGGGACATACAAATTCAATCCTAAGTACAATTTTATGATGTAAGGAAGTGGACAAATGGTTGAAAAGAACTCAGTCACAACAGGCTTTATCAGGACATTTCCTTTTTTTTTTTTTTTTTTATATATATGCAGTCTCGTACTTCAAGTTACTCTCGTGTATTTTAAATTAAAAAAATCTCAATCCAAAACCCAAAAGTTAAAAAATCTAAAACAGTGCAACAATTACTGCTTCCCTCCCAGATCTCCTACCCCTTCCCTTGTTTATTACACTGTACATGTTTCACCCTGACTCCACCTTGTTAGCTGGTTTAATTTTAGTATTATAAAAGTATGACAAGTTCATTTTCATTTCATCTAAAAGAAAAAGAAAACAAAACTTAAAATACATCTTTTTTTTTATGGTACATTTAATAGTGTCGAAGGCTTTTATATGATTAAAAATAACCCCAAAACAGAACAAAACAAAACACATTTAGAACCAACTCTAAGCTTCTTTCCTAGAAGTAGTTAAGGTTTGGTTAAAATAACTTCTCAATTAACCTGTTCCAGTTTCCACAAAAAAGGTATTTAATTAAAAAAAAACTTTTAAGTTATTTGGTCCTTTGGCAATTTGCAGCACAAACAATGCCTACTGTACCAAACTCATTTATTGCCTTCAAAATGGTTTTAGTTTTATCGATAATATTTAAACCTAGCATCCTCTGTGTTGTACAATAGTGTTGTTCATTTACATCAAGTAGGGTGCCCAATCTGCAGAAGTTCCTTCTGGCACCAGAAACAGAATGGTAGAATTAAATAAAACAGTTTTTTGACATTCTTTATTTTACTTTTTTTGCCATGGATTCCAAGTACTTATTCAAGAATTTAGGCTTCTTCTGCAAAATATTCTCTTAAAAATCCTCCTAGAGTCTCACAGGTTTTTTATATGCAACCACAATAAAAACAAAAACAAAACAAAAATCTTCTCAAAGGTCTCTTCTGTTTTTGTATTCAAACTCTTGCGTGCTTTTTTTTTTTTTTCCCCAAAAGCACAAGTCTGACCTTCCAACGCTCGTGCTCCCTCTTGTGACCCACAAAACGTGGCCTTCAGTAGGTCTCAGAATCTGAGTCGTTGAGCTCGTCCTCTTCCGTATACGGGTAGCCATCCTCCCTGCCAATGTTGTTGAAACTACAGTAAGAGCTGTGGTCACTCCTCATGATGGGCAAGGAGTCGAAGGTGACAGTTTTTGAGGCGTTGGTGTAATGATTAATGGCATTGAATGTAAGGGACGGTAACGTGCTGCTCGATGAAACGGGCATCATCGTGGCCAGGATAAGCGCCAGGCAATCGGCCACGTCCTTGTTGGGGGCACAGGCCAAGGCTGGCGTGTAACCTAGAGTCAGGATAAAACCAAAACCTTCATTTAGGAAAAAATAAATGTAAAAATTTCCCCAAGATCCAAAATTTACATCTCCAAAATGTAAAAATTTCTCCAAGATCATATAATCTTTCAGCTGCAAAAGTATTTGATATTACTTTGTTCCGCACTGTTTTTAAAAAATATAAAATTAAATGCACTACCAATTAATATATATGCATTTACTTTCGGTTATGGAAATATCCTAGAAGCCAAGGGGCTTTGGGACAGAGATTCGATTATTTTGTTAAGCAAAGTCAGAAGTCCTAGGCCGCTGAGAAAAGCCTGGATTGGAACATCCTGAGGAAGTCAACAGGGTGAGGAGACACCGGTCACTGCGGCCAGCGGTGACCGGGGAGGGGATCCACCAGGGGAGCCACCGCGGAGGCCACACTGCAACACACTGAGTTTGCTTCACCCAGAGGCGTCTGTTCAGCTGCTGAGCACACACTCCACGGGGCTATTAGAATACTGGTCTCAAAACACACTGGCTAAAACACGTGGGCCAATTATTTAAAAGATGAAAGTATACAATTTCAATCAATGTGGGCTTTATTGCAACACAGAGCAATCTGAAATACAAAGCCAACATCTAGTTTTTATTTGAGGAAGATAAATGAAGAAAGCCAAAGAAATCTGAGGAAATGCCAGCTGGATTAGCGGGCTGGGACTTTCGGAGGGAAATTGCACCTCTGGGCTGCCCCACCAGGAGGTCTCCTCTCCGGAGGCACTACTGTGACAACCTGCTCATGCAGGCGGGGTCTGGAATGACTGTCGTTAGCTCCGATAGGGCCTTAACCTCTTCTAGGCAACTGCAGCTCTGTTTTTTCCCAGCATTTCTCCTTTTGTGATTTTTCCCACCCTCTGTACTTGCCTCTCCTCATTAACTACCAAGGAAAATGCTTCAAACTCTCCTGAATGGAGGTCCCCGAGGCCTTAGGCTTGGTAACCCAGCAGGCTGCTCACGATAACTTGTGCCCCAGACCTTGGGAATTTGCAGAGCACATAGAGAACAGCAGGGAGACGCTGAAAGTGGTGGTGTGAGGTAGCAGGACAGTCCTGTCAGCGCAACCACACGTAACCTGGCTAATTCTGCTGCCAGGCCAAAGGAAGCAAAGAAACAGTACAAGGCTTTACAGGTAAGCGCTGCACTGCGTTTTTTATCTGGACACTACAAAGGTGTGGAAAAGGAGGCAATGTTCACTTCACCAGCAAATATTTCAACCTCTACGGAATTGCTTTTATTGTAGGTGCAGTTAAAGTTTCAGGATACAGCTCAGGAATAGCTACGGTGCGGTCATACGATTGCACAGAAGTTTTAAACAAGCAGGCAGTTTCCAGTTATGGAAAACAGCACGGAGGGAGCCAGCCTCGCACTCGACCTGTTGGCTCTGCAGAGACACTGTGCTTGGTGCTTGAACAGCCAAGACCCCAGCCCCTGCCCCAGGTGCAGACGATGCAAGAGGACGGACAGGGAGCTCGAGCACAGAAGGCAGCGCTGAGCACGCGGGAGGGCCCTGCAGGAGAGCAGCTCCGCGGATGTTTTTGGTGTTAGTGACGTATCACAGCGCTTGAACAGCTCAGAGTTAGCCGTGACGGTCGGCAGGAGGGACACGTTTTGAGAGGATTCAACGCGGGGGCCGGAGCTGGCAGGCGCAGCGGACGCCTCAGCGCTGACACCGGGCACTGCACAAACCCACGGGGACACACGGGGTACACGTTTGGTCACACCGGCCATGCTCAGCACCACTTCTTTTACTAATTCTGTTTGATAACTGTGTTTGAAAACTGTGCAAGGTCACCAGCATTTTTTTCCTTCTTGTTAGAAGATTGCTTCTATCTAACCGGACTGTGCTCGTCCCTCTGGAAGAGAGCATCCCTACAGGTCATTAAAAATAATTAGAAATTAAAGGCCAACCTGAAGATTAAGCCAGTTTCTTACTTCTTTTAAGTATTCTTCAAAAACAGCATTTGGAATGGATATTCAAGGTTAGATTTTGAGCTTCTGTTTTTGGTAGTTAGGAAGGAAATACCTCATCTTTATTCCTTGCTCAAACATAACAAGATGAAATAACTGCTCGCCTGGTAAAAGCCTGGCATCTGTGTCCTCCATCACTTTCTTTTGCCCATATGGTTTTAAAATAAAAGCACCAAAGAATAGCTTTGTTCCTCTTTTTTTTTTCTTTTTTTTTTTGTCTTATGGCAAAATGATCATTTGTCTTTCCTCAAAAACTCCCTAAGTTTTTTTTAGAAACATAAGTTGGCAAATCCACTGCTTCTTTGAAACACCCTTACTCGGTGTTTACATCACATGCTCCATGAGCATACTCGTGTTTGCATGAGCTTTTAAAGACGGTAAAAATCCCCCTGTTCAGGGGAAAGGTGAGCAGGGAAAGGTGAGGCAACGTTCCCACACAAGAGAAAACGGAGCCCACACGCTGGACATGGGCATGAGATCCAGGGTTTCCCTGCCCCACCGCCGGGCTGCTCCCTCTCCAGGGATGGGGAAGGGACCCTGGGAAAGTGCCCGTGATGACAGGAAAAAGTGGATGTTTATTCATGTGACCAACGCGGAGACAGTTCTCAAGATAAACTGAATGAGGTCTCAGGCTTGGGAAAGAAGAGGGCGCCTATGAGACAGGAGACACCTCCTCAACAGCTGCTAGGAAGGAGTATTTCAGAAAGCAGGACAAGCATCCAAGCAAAGGGAGACTTGGAAAAGAACCAGAAAAGGGGCTATTTTAAAATGAACTGATAGGCCAATTTTTAATGCGCTGACAGGCCAACAGTCACTGTAAGCACGATGAACCCAGAAGTGACAGAAGGCTCCACAAGGCTGCGATGCCAATCTCTGGATTTAGAGACTGAGACAGTGAGAACTAATGTGATGTACATTCTTCTGAAGTAAGAGAACATCAGCACAAAAGATGCCAGTGGCTATTTTTTTTTTAGTGTTTTGCTACACAGCTTTCATCCTTGAAAACAAAACACTCAAGTTTCTCTAACAAAAAAAAAGGAAAAAAAGGATTTCTCTGTATTATTCTGTAACAGAATTAAATAAGTATATGTAATCTTTTTTTGCTTTAAAAACAATTACACCCTATTGGTGAAAGCTAAAATTGAAGAAAAGTTGACCTACCATAGAAAGGGGCTACTACTACTGCCAGCTTTTCCATTTGATATAAAAGATACCCAATGGAAACAAGAAGAAACTTTTTGCAAGGGTAATAGCTGATCTGCTGACCTACTAATCTTCTAAGGATTAAGAAAATTCTGCCGTGGCAGGTAAAGCAAACTGATAAATCTCATGAAAACTTCTCTTGCTCTCTCACAGCTGGAAGTATTCATCACTTTGCATATACCAAATTCTGGGCTAGCACCCAGCAGACAAATAATTCATTATGAATATTCTCAAGGTTCGTTAAAGTTTTATAAACAAAGAAATACTACTAGAAAGACGAGTCAGAAGCCATGGTGAAGAACTAGATACTAGAACACTCAGCAATAATTCAGATTTAAAATATTAGCAGAAATAAATAAAAAACCCAACAGGCTGCACTTAGAATCCCAGTCAGAGAACCAACTTCTTTTCAAGCAATTTTCCCTGTTAAGTCAGTCTTAACAAGGATTCCTCCTAACAAGGGACTGCCTGATCGCAGATGAGAAGCCCAGCAAACTGCCTGTACAAGCAGCTCCCACAGTTAGCACAGTTAGCATACTTGCAATGAGAAGAAAAAAAAAAATCCAAATCGCAGTTTTTCTAGTCTTTTCATTTGCAGAAGCCTCTCCCCTCCTGTTTCTTGTTTTAGGCAAGGAATAATCTTTGAATCATCTGTGTCACTTTAAGCAGTGTAATTTGAGAAACACCATAATTGGAAAGTCGCAGTAAACATCAAGGGAGGAAAAGCTTCCCAAAGCAGAAATATAATTAGAACTATTAATCAGACACATTTTTCTGGAAACCGAGCAGCTGCTGCTTTTATTTCAGACACTAGTTTGAAACGGGCCGAGCAAAAAACTCCCTCTCAACGGCCCAATTTCGGAGGACCACAGATCTCCTACCTGAAAATACGCAAATGAGAAGTCAGAATATCTACTTTTTTTGTTCTTGCAAGGTATAGGACTCGTTCTTTGTGATAAGGCAGTTACATTTCTTACTTCTACGTACTAAAAACTCTCAAGAGCCAGAAGCTTCAAACCCAGTAACTTGGCTCTATAATTCACACTTACTCTTAAAAACTAGCACCAATACATCCTGGTAAAATGCATGGCAGTTTAATCCAGCTTTGTTAACAGCTAAGAGTTAGAATTTACTTTGAGCATTAGATTTTGCAGACCATTTTCATTTCAGACCATATTGCTAGAGCTAACGCATAAGGCTACAGATTCGAATCATACATATGATGACTGACATTGCTGTTCTGAAAAAGCTTTCATTCCTCTTACTTTATCTGCGTTGCTGAAAAGACCCGTGATCATCACCACCATCACAACATCTTTTTTTCTGTGGAGGAATCTACTATAAGTTTTGCATGAAATTTCAAAAGCAGTTACTGTTTTTCAGTGAGTTGAGTTTAAAACCACAGTTCCTTATGGGGAAACAAGGTTAAATTTATTCTTACCATTTTCATCTACAGCAAGTACACTTGCTCCCTTCCCTAAAAGTTCTTGAACTACAACTGTTAGTCCATTCCGAGCAGCAACATGCAGAGGTCTGTGAAGACAAGCAAACTGGTATATAAACCTTAGAACAAGATATGAAATAAGATTTTAAGCAGCTTGCATCTGATTAATGAATTACCTACACTTGTATGTTATTTACATGTTATCTGAACACTGGGGATATAATATCTAAGGGACAATAGAAAAGAAAATCTTTTTTATTGCAAACAAACTATACAGTAACAACTGTGCATTTTGTTTTACAACATTATAGTGTAAGTGGCTGCTGGAACAGATGTGCCCCCCAAGAACTTAATCACATTGGAAAGTTAGAAACAACTAGTACCTGCTGTTAACTTAAATCCTTCACTAACAGTGAAAACAGCCAGTAACGCACCTGAGAATCCCTGCATGTCACAATATCCCTGCAACAATCCTCAGAACACAACCAGCAAAATGCTACTCATGTTCTATGGGATATGAATGCTTACAAGAGATGCACAACTGTTTTATCAATCTGCCTTTTAGAAACCAGTATATTCCACTAGGACTGTGGATAGAAAAATATTTTATAGTATAATACATGAAGAAGCAAAAGGGAAAATAAAACATTACTTTTCACAGCATCAAACTATTAGCTGCAGTCATATTTTGCACTGACTTGCTCCATCAGGAAAAGCATCAACTTCACCTCAAATATTTTAACTCCATCTTTTTCAAATACGAAAGTTTGATAAGTGATGTTCATTAGCCTCAAAACTCATCAGGAAACAGAGTAATCAGATTACTTCAACTGCCTTATATTGCTTCTTCATTCATTTTGAGGTTCTTAAAATTGTTCGAATTAACCATGAACCCTATTTTCATTTGGAAACAAGTGCCTTAGTTAAAAAACTAAAAATTAAGAGAGGCTATGCCTATACCACAAATATACAAAAAAAATCTAATGCAATTAAGACCTTTGTATTATTGACGCCAGCAATTATAGGCTTAATATTGACAGGAAGCAGGACGTTGTTCATGGTGAAAACTGTTTAGAAAGTCGGGGTAATTATTAAAAATATTTGCCAAACCAGTAATATTTTTAGAACTGTTGAGATCTTTAAAAGTAAAAACTGTTAAAACCTATAGAAACATTTCATGGAGATGAGAATATGTACCTATTTTTCCCCTTGGTATTCCTATAGTCAGACTGCATAAGCTAAGGTATGTGGGTGGAATTTACAGGAGCCTGTGAAAAGCATGTTAAAAAAAAAAAAAGCATATTTCAGCTAATTTTTTTATTATTAGCTAAATCTTGAGCAAATCTCATGTTGTAGAAGAACAAATCTTGATTTGTCTGAGTTTTTAACTGAAGTGAATTTTAATTCCTTGAATCACAATATTGCAAGATTTATTTAGCATCCTTTTCACTCAGCTAAAACCACAACCTTTAAGCTTGAATGAAGCAGCTTCTGTGTTAAAGCTGGCTGAACATGTAGTATCTACTATACAATATATATTCAACCGATTTGGAAGAAAACGCTTAGAAGTATTTATTTTTTAAGCATGATACTGGTTTTAGCAAAAAGAAGGAAACAAAACCAAAATCTGATAGTTAAACACCACTCAGTGGCAATACGTACGTTTGCAAGGCTGCATTGGTGGCATTGATGAGGTTTCTATCTGTAATCTTCTCCAGTATTAACAAGGCACTAGTTTCATGACCCTTAATACAGAGCAAACACACTGTCATATAACAAATACTTTACAAAAAATGCTTTTGATGCCTTTTCAAAAAGTTAGTATTTGCAAACAGTATTTGGTTACATAAAACTCAACACTACTGAAGTCAAAATAAGCACGCACCTTGCTGCAAGCCAAGTGGAGTGCTGTGTTCTTAGCCCTGTCTTGCAAAGTCAGATCAGCCTTAGCACTGCTAACCAGCACCTCTGGGGGAAAAAGACGTTTATCAACTAAAGCATATTCCCTGAAGTTTCAGTGGCCTACCTCTGTGCAAAATGAAAATATTAATTTAACAATATGATCCACAATTAGGTTACTATAGTGCAACTTCAGCTGTGGTAAGATAGTACTGCTTATTAACAAACTTAAGGGGAGAAATAAATGAAGGTGTATCTTACCAACTGTATTTGTCTGTCCATTTTCTGCAGCCATCATTAAAGGTGTTTTCCCAGAGGAATCTACTGCGTTGACTTGAGCGTTGTGACTGAGCAGAAGCTGTAGACATTCAACATGATCTGTAAAAGCTGCTGCATGAAGAGGAGTTCTGCAAGAAATCAATGCTCACGTTCAGGAAAAAGTTCCTGTTCTTTCAACTTTATTCAAAGGTCTATACTAGGGTCCTGCTGTACAAAGAGTCTGCAGGCAGTCCCGCTGATGCTCCCAAATCATTATTGTTGGAGCTGACAGGTGCATTTAAAAAGTCACCCCCAATTTTCTAATAAATGGCTCTTTATTAGCTTCCTGCAATACTGACACAGTTTGATAAACATTCCTGGCCTACACAATACAAACCATATGCAAGTCTACTGCATTTTGGATTTTAAACAGCCCAATACTAAAAAGGCCAAAGTGACAAAATTCAACAGAACAATCCAACTATTATATTCCGTTTTTCCCATACATTCTTACCTTCCTTTTGAATCTGTTGAATTAACAATACCAGCACCTAGAGTATCAATCAACATTTCTGCAGCACCTTCATTATCGTTTATCCTATAAAAAAGTAATTGTGCTGTTATTTACAGAAGGATAAAGCTTTTTTTAAATACTGCAGTGAAATACGTAAAGGATAATTTTAGACTCCCTTACACAGCACAATGCAATGGACTGAAAGAATTTCCTTCTGTTTTCTGGAAAACTTCCTGTTCCAGCAGGAGCTCTACACAACTGTCATGACCTAAAAATAAGTGTAAAAATTAAGTATTAAAAACCAATAATAGTAACAACAGTAAGAACATATATATATATGTTTTATATATAATGGCTGACAACTTACAACATAAATCAATTTGCTAAAGTAGATTAAGCAATATCTTATTTAAGCTTTGAAATGATGTTACATCTATATTGTGAACCTGAAATAATATTTTCAAAATTCTACAACGTACTGTTGTAGGAGTAACCAGTTCTCATAACTACCTATTTGATCTGTAACTACTGCATATTTACTCAGCATTTACTGTGTTCTGAAAATTTGTATTTTTAGAAGTACCATCAATTTTTCATTCTAAAAATCAAGCATATTACAGGTCTATTTTATTCAGAAACTCTGCTCACTCTGAAAATACTCTGAAAATGGATCAAGCCATAGGAGTTTAATGTCATCAATCTGGTATGTCATAAATCTGGTATTTTATTCAGACTGAAATTAATAGTGATGATTTACCCAGTTGCTTTAGCTATGAGGACAGCCTAGTGAGCTATTCACTTAGAAGTCACAGTGAAAGTGAAGCATTAAATGCCCACTTCTCAGTCTTTCTCTATAATGTGAATCAGAGATAAAACATATGAGGACCTTTATGTCAGGAAAATACATCTCATACTAAAATCCTTAACAGGAGAGCTAAATGAATTCCAATCCTTTTAGGGAGTATTCCCCGCCTCCCATATTCCAGGTAATACAATGTAAAAATATATATTCACAGGAAAAATAAAACAAAGCATGTGAAAACCTGACAACAAACGCTTTGCAATGCTACGATTGATGAATACCTTCTTTCCAAAATGAAATGAATAATTAAAAAAGCGGAATAGGTTACTCTGCAATTAGATAAAGAAATAAATAAATCTGAGCACTCTGACATCCAGAAACACTTTAGCTGTGATTTATGTCTTTTTTTTAAGTTAAAAAAAAAAACAAAAACGTGAGAGCACAGCTAGATGACAAAGGTGCTTCGAGTTGTTCCTACCTAATCAATCTCTGCCTGGGCAGGGCATGAACAAGCAACCAACATTAGGCTGCTTCCCAGCCTAACAACTGCATGCTATAAACTGTCAGGAAACTGATTTCTGTTAGAAATAGTCGTGGGAGGGAGAAAGGAGGCAGGGAAGAGAATATTTTGGGAAAAAAAAATCTCACTTATCAGATTTAAAACATGGCCCCAGCAAATAGCAGCAAGGGAGAGAAAGGGAGAGAGTTCCTTCGTGGGGATGATCTCTCGAGGAAACTCCATTGCAAGCTATGGCATGAGTGCAGATCACAAGGGCTGACTGGACTGCTAAACTGCTAGATGGTTCTGAGCTAATAACTCTGAAAACCATGCAGTGATAAAAACAAAACAAAACACTGGAACGAGGTAGAGTTCCAAGAACTGTTTTAGCACATAGATCTGAGAAGAGCTATGGAGGCAAGTTAAGAAGGTCCTTGTACTCATTTTCTTGTTTTTATCTCCAGACTCTTTAATCAAAGCATAGAGAGGGAGACAGAGCCATACAAATATTTGTGCATTTAATGAAACAGTAAACTCCTTAAAAATGTGTGAATAAGGAATTATTTACAGAGTAAACATCACGTTAAAGTGAGTTATATATCTATTAGACCTTAAATATGAAGTTACCAGCACCTCCATGAATAAACTTAACAGATACTTCAAAGAAAAGATTACAAATCGTGTTCATGAAATGATTACTGAAGTCTGGTGAAGATATAACACCACATCCAACTGCACTGACATACTGTTCTATTACTGAATGTTTGTCTCAAACTGGGGCCTATTTTTTCAGTTATATCTTGTAATTTTGCAAAAATTCTAACATTTAAAACCTTAAATGGAATATGAAGTTAGGTAAAAGTATTAGCAGCACTTGTTCCACTAGAGAAAGACGGACTTAAAAATATGTGAGACTGTGCTGTTCTGGAAGTAATGAAAAGGTAAACACAACAAATCAGTCCTGTATACATTTTCATCTCCAAAATCTTGGCTTATTTAATAAACCCAACCGTTATTCCATATTTTGCATGGTTGAATATTTAGATTCTGAAATTCAGACCACTCTATCAGCGCTGGATATCCTTTGTGCATTCCCTAGAAAGCTTAAGCCCCAAGACGGCTGCTTTGGTGTTTACCATTGTAGCAGGCCCAGTGCAGGGACGTATAGCCATGATTGTCTGCTATTGCAGGGACTGCATCCACGGACGTAGCTGCCTGCAGGAGGGCTCCTAGGACACCTATATGTCCACACGCAGCTGACAAGTGTATAGGGGTTCGTCCCCTTGAGTCTCGTAGCAAGGACTTGGCTCCGTGTTGAAGCAGGGCTTCCACACACTCCTCGTGCCCAGTGACTGCCTGCAGGAGGGATCATAGAGCGTGTCGGCACGTATATAACTATATATACATATACAACCCTGTCTAGTCAGGGTGTCTAACTAAAGCAAGCAAACTCCAATGTCTTAATACTACAAATACTAACAAAATAAGCTCCAGTATGGTTTTAATTCCTAGATAAAACCATTATTTTGCACAAATAGCAACATATTATTATATTAATGATAGAGTAATTTCTTGGAATAGCCTTGAATGAACTGCTAATCTCCACAGCTCTTTCAGTTGCCTTAATCTGGCAGAGACTTTACAAATAAAAAAAGACATATAGCATGTGTTACAGTTTCTTCCGTTCATTAACAATATGCGCCCCCTTGCCTCTTCATGACAAAAGTGGTACCGTAGGGCTTCTCTACGCAAGTTACAACAAAATCAAGAGACTTGAAAGCACACACAGAAAACCTTTAGTAACCTACAGTAAAAAAGGTGAAAACTAGTATTCTGAAAACAATTAATAGATAATCAAAAGCTATAGGCCACAGGACAAAACTAATGAGAAATTCATTAATACTACGTCACAGAACTCCTGAGGTTGGAAGGGACCTCCTGTCTAGTTGGACATCTAGTCCAACCCCCCCTGCTCCAGCAGGGACACCTAGAGCACATGGCACAGGGTGGCATCCAGGCGGGTTTTGAAGATCTCCAGAGAAGGAGCCTCCACAACCTGTCCGGGCAGCCTGTTCCAGGGCTCTGTCATCCTCACAGGAAAGTTCTTCGTCACATGGAGATGGAACTTCCTCTGTTTTCATTTATATCCATTACCCCTTGTCCTGTCACTGGCCATAATAAGCCTGTAGCTAAAATACTGTGAAATACTATGAACAGGACAAAAAAGCACTACTCTCTTACCCCTCTATGCAATGCTGTCCTTCCCCACTTATCTTTGGCATCTACATTAGCTCCTTTGTTAAGGAGTGAATAAACGCAGTCCGTGTGCCCATTGAGAACTGACAACATAGAGAAAGAAATAAAATGTAAATCCACAGAGGAATTTAACAGACTAGAGCTACGCTGAAATATTTTAACTTCTACTGTTTGGGGAAACACTGTTTTAAAATTAAAAATCTCTAGCACTACTGTCACTCCAAGAATGCATGCATTTTAGGGCCAGGAAAATATGTCAATTTCTGGTAATGCATAATGCCTAAGTAAGCAACAAGAGGCCTTTTTTTAGCAACTGAAAAATAAGTGCATTTTAATTTCCTCTCAAATGGACAAGTTATTTTACCACTACCAGAATTATTTTTTTTGCAGGTTATTCAATCTTTTTTGTTCAAGAATCATTTTCCCTTAAAGAATTGTTAAAAAAAATCACCAAGACAAAATAATTAGATTTTCCTTTTATAACATGCAAAAGACTTGTGAACAGAATTTATAGCCTCTAAACTTACTGCCCATTTCCATCTTGAATGTCCACTGCATTCTGTGGTTCTGCATTTCCTATCAATAGTCTCAAACATTCTGAGTGACCATTGGTAGCTGTAAAATATCACCAAAAATATCAGTTTTACATCATTTGACCTTTGCATACTCCAAGGCAATTAGAACTGTAAGCGACTTAAGACTAAAACCTGCCAACTTGCCAACCCATTGTGCCAGCTTTATTATTATGATTACAATTGAAAACAAACAAAAAAAGAATTGTTCAACATGATTTCAGAAATGGAGTGCTCTCAATTATGTAATATTAGAAGGGATCGGTTTCAACCATAAATTGCTGACAGATATTTGCACCTCTTTACATAAATGAGGTTGAACACATCAGTCCTAAGTATATGGTTATATAACTTAAATAAGGAGTAATTAAATACACTAATTAGCACATTTTTTACCTATGCCTGAAATCAAACAAACCTACACAGAGCCAACTACACACAGGTTTCAAGCAAGTACAGCATGTGCATAGTTACGAAGTGATAATTGAAATCACAGTTAGAAGAAGCAAAAAGAAAGGTAAGGCATCAAGCAATTATCTAAACAGTTATAAAAAGATATGTAAGTGTATATATAGAGAGATATGTATCTGTATACATAGGTAGATATATATAGATACACAGACATATATCATCACATTTCAAAGGAACTCCTGAAAGATAAACTGTTGCTTGTTGAGGAGAGATATTCCTGACATGCAGCTGCCATATTCAGTCCACATTAGAATGGTTTGACAGAGATGTTAACAGAAGTTATGAGGGGCTAAAATATGGTAATGCAGCTTGTGCTCACAGCCAAAAGGGTTAGAATGACATTGTTTTGCATAAAATGTTCTTTTAATGGCAATATTCTAATAAGATGACTACTACAATGCCAATAATGCCAAACTAAATAAGCCTGCTTCCAGAATTGAACGATAGCACTTACCTGCAGCATGTATTGGGGTTCTCTTCACAACATAATCTTTCACCAAGATTGATGCTCCCTGATTAATGAGAACGTCCACACATTCCACGTGCCCCTTAAAGGCAGCAAGGTCCAGGGGCGTCCTTCCATTGTTGTTCCTCACATCGAGATCCAGCAAGGACTGCACCAGCACCTCCAGAGCTTGGTGGTGACCGTGGTAGGCCTGAGAGCGTAAGATAACCTTCCAGTTTTCCTGTCCTTCACATTTTTCCTCTGTTTACCAGCGTTTCCTACATTAAACTCTGAATCTAGCATTTTTACTTTAGCCTGTTAAAGAGCTCCTAATGCAGCAGGTAAGTAGTTCCAAAATGCTTACAAGAAACTGTAAAAACCATTTCAGTAGGAAGGTTTGTGCTTCTCATTTTATCCCTTCCATCAGCAATTGATAGTATTTCCAAAAACTGTATTTCCAAATACAATTCTGTCTATGTACACATGCACACACACACATATAGTGTAACTGCTAATATTTTGAAAATTATTTCATTTATGTTAAGAATTACAAGTGGTGGAAGTAGTCACTTCCACCTCAGATTACTTCAAGCGAGGATATGAAACTTAACTAATTCCTGTTTATAGGATATTCAAAAAAGAGCCTGTAAAATTTGTAAGTAAAAAATACAGTATAAATAATTAAAAGTTAATGGAGTAGGAAAATAGAAGGGACTTATGGAACGAAAAAGTAAGAGATCACAGTAGATAAATAAGGATCTAAAAAAGCCTCTTGATATTTATGTACATCTTTCTTAGAGTTTTAAAGGCTTTTTCTTCATAAAAAAAGAATCATGATGGCAAAACATATCATTATTGGGTAGAGCATAAGACTTCTAAGTTTTGTTAATATACTTTTAAAGACAAATATTGAATAGAAGCAAGATTCCAAATGAGGAGTGTTCAATTCAGACAAGAGGTAAAAAACACTTCATAGGAATCATTCGTGAGCTACACGTTAACCATTTTATGGTGTAATTTATTGTCATCGACCATTTAAAACAAAAGTCCAGAATGAATCAAAAATATATCAACAACTGTTTGAAATTACATAATCTGTCATCATGAAAGAATGAAATACTTACAGCTAAATGCAGTGGACTTATGGGTGCTCTGTTGTCTGAATCATTCAGCATGTCAGTGCCTGATGTTTCCATTAGCTTTCAAGAGAGAAAATTCCGATTGAGTGCAAAAAAAACCCCAAAAAACACCGCTTTCACTTTTTAAAAAACTTCAATAATAACTGCTATTATTTCCAGTATACACAGATTGAAAATAAACAAAATTGGAAGAAATAATATAGGTTTAAATTTTCCCTGGGAATTCTTTAATTATTTCATTCTTTTAAAGCCTTTAAATTACAAAGACCGTAACCCCTTCCATACATTCATTTCCCAGAGTTGTTTAACTTTGCAGGACAATGCAATAATCAGATGAGAAATTAATCTAGAATATTTTTATCCTGCATCAGCCGTATCAAATAGTATGGAAAAAAATGCTTGCAGAATGAATATAAAGACATGTGAGAGGGAAAACAGCTACAGAAGGAAAAAAAAAATATCGAGGCACTTAGGTTAGGTTAGCAAGTCAGCGAGAAAACAGATATCAAGAGCCAGAAGACAGGATTTCTCAGAACAGAAAAATATCTGCCGAAGCGATGCTCTCACAAAGGCACATGCATAACAAAACAGGGCTAAAATAGCTGCATGTATACAATTCTGTTTGGTTATTTTCAGATGTTCTTAAGGTTTTAATCTTGGGTCTTTCGCAAGACCATATTTAACTTAGACAGTAGAATTAAAACATTCAGAGTGTTTGAAGAACACCAAATATATGTGTATCATCAAGTGTTCATGATCACTCAAAGTCATACAAATGTTTTAGTCAACTGATGGTTTAAAAAAGATTATTTTCCATTATAAAATCCTCAGCTGCAAACATTAAATAACATATCTATGCACTGAAGACATGATTTAAGTCTAAAAATTAGCAGCAAGCAGCAGCATTTTAAAACTTTGCTGTACAATACTTTAAAGTGAGAAATCATACACACTTACAACATCTAGAGGCGTTTCACTTGCGATCTGCAATTAAAAACATTCAGAATCAGATCAAATATGCTTGAATATTCATTCAGAATCTGTATAAAAATATTAAGCTATAAAACACAAAATTAACACAACAATAACACATCCATTTTGCAAAGGCATTTATCAAAAAACACCCTGAGGCTTTATTTAAAATTGTATAATACGGCCATCAGTTATTGCAACTATGTGAACTATTTCTAATGACCACCCTAGTTTTCAAGCTTTCCCCACATACTAAGCTGCAGCTCCAGAAGACATTTGCGAAACCTTTTAATACTCCTCAGTGGAATATCTGTGATTATTACAGTTCAGCCACGAGGAATAAAGTTAGCAGTATATTCCAGATTAAAGAAAGAAAGCAAAACCAATATCCCAGATCCTAAGCAAGCTCTTCATCACAGAATAAACAGTCTTTTTAAGCCAGCAGCTACCGTTTTAGCTCCCCATATTGCCCCTGTTTTAAGGGTACCAAGTGCTCAAATATGTATCCTCACAGGGGCTGAAAATCTCTATCAAGGTGGCTTTGAGATGAAGAGCAAAGGGGAGGAAGGCCACGGACTCTGCACCACCCTCTCCAAGGGGAGCTGTTGCGGCTTTCATCCACGATGCATTTTCTTACCAGTTCTAGACAGAGGCGATGACCATAAGCAGCAGAATAATGAACTGCGTTGTATCCTTGCTTGTCTCGGATTCCAGGATTGGCATCATTTCTTAGCAAATATTCCAGGCACCTATTTAAATTGACATACGACAACCATATAGCTGAATTTCAGCTCTTCTCCAAGTGATCAGTTGTTACATTTCAACTGGAAAATGCAGTACTGCAAAAAGGAGCACTTCTTTGCTGTACAGGTTTCACTAGGGCTCCAGAACAGCTGAGCCAGTAAACCAAGTGTTGGTAAGGCAGTCGCAAAGCTCCCATATTTGACAGAATCCCACTGTACAGAAGGAATAATCACTGATTTATTGAGCATTTAGATAAAAAAAAACACAGCCATCATCTCCTGGCATGCACACCATTTCTTACTCTTATCACATGAAATTATATGGCAGAGCAGCATCAGCACAGTTTCAACCACAGACACTCAGGCAGGAGGATGGAAAATGGAGTTTTACTGCTAGCTCCGAGCGTCTCCATGTGTGCACACTGAGTGATTCCAAGTGATGACCCTGCTTATTCGGAGTTTTCTGGTCCACCACCTAAGCAACATTCTGCAGAGCTTAAGAATAGTGGTGCTAAGAACTATGAAGAAACATCCATTAGAGAACAAGAAGCTAAGGGGACCTAAACTACTAGACACATCCCAATGTGAAGCTTCACAAGTTTCAGAGCTTGATAAACACCTATAAGAAGCAAACAGTGCCATAATAATATCATCTTATTTTGCAAGCTTATTCATATTTGTAAGAGTTTCCAAACACCTATATGGCAAGATGCAACTGAGCACAATCAGGAGCTCTTGAAATTCTGAATTAAGAGAGTAGGAAAGATTTCAGGTTTCCCCCTGACAGCTGACAGTGATTCTGGTACTAAATTAGTCTCAGCTTCCTCAAGTAGTTAACATTGTGAATGTCTCCTCATGTCCTACCACATACAAAACCTTCAGAATCTGAGAAAAGGCACACAGCACCATGATTGATGACAGGACCTGGAAAGCAGAAGCATCAAATTCTCGACACTACTTGGGAATAGAACACATCTGATACTTTATGAAAAGCAAGTGGACTTCAGATGACTGGATCACATCTCCCAGCCTAGGTTCGACAAGCAGAACCTATTCCAGACCAGTTCCTAGTGTCCTAAGTGACTGGATCCTCTGTTTCCATCAGGAAAAAGGAGACCCAGCTGTCAACATCACACACTGTGATTATATTGTTGTGATCTGGACACCACGTTTTTGAAGATAAGGCCAGGAAACTTTGCATGTGTTCTGCACAGCTCTGAGCTCCAAAGCACTGTCATGAAACTGGCGGTGCTTTTACCTGAGATGTCCAGGACTTCTACTAGATCTCTCTGCCTATGAAGGAACATCCATTACAACCTAGCAAAAAGAGGAGTGACATGGGTGGGTTGATCTCACCATTAAGGGACCCACCTGACCTTTCAAGAAAAGACCACCGGGCAGGTAAGGAGAAGTTTGTGCAGACTGGAGGGAATCTTGTGAAGGGATCTACCACGACGCAGCACGCTGCTGTGTGACTAAAAGCTCTTTCCAGTGTGAAGCTGATCATTACTTGTACTGCTTCTTCTCATCCAGGAAGGAGATTAAATTTGCATCTATTGAATGCTTAACTGTCCTTAATAGCCCTCTTTAAAAGGTGATAAATCATTTTAAAAAAAAAAAAGTTAAATTTATTTCCTATGCAGTCTCTTAAATTAATATGAAAAGAGAACTCAACTCCTCTGCCCGCAACGTGCTACTCTATTTTATTCTGTGATCATCTTTCTTTAATATTGCCAAAGTAAGGTTTACTGGTGTAATTTCCAGCACCAAAGGCACCTGTTCAAGATACCAAACAAGCATTTCCTAAAATGATAAGCAAATGGAAACTTAATTTTATGAAAACAATCCTCATCCCTGAAATTTGTCTTTAAAGATGCCTGAAAAAAAATAAAAATAAACCCGCAATTATCCTTGGAATTCCTATATAGATCAAATGCTGACATTTTTTTCCAAGGCTTTATATTCCAAGTCGGAATGATTTGCAGCTTCTTTCTTATTTGGAATCGGAGCCTGGTCGCAGCGCTTTTCCAGCTGTTATTAATCACGTTGCTGCACCAGTCGGAGCAGCAGCATTGCAGGGATTCTGAGCCCGGCTTCGAGCCGCCTCCCAGAGCGCCGCAATTTTCCCATCCCAATTCATGCTCGTGCCTTTTAGAAGACAGATGGCAAAACACTGTCATCTGAAGCACCATGATAGTTTGGAGGTTTTTACAGCAACTGTGGTGCTAAAATTAATCTCAGATCAAACTGTAAGAGGGCAATTAAAGTAAAATTATCCCAAATTTCATCAGGCAGTGAATGCATATGTAACAAGTGGCAGACAATTTTGTTTGGAAGATCATTTTTAAAGAAAAAGATGCCTGTTCTTTGACTATTAGTTAAATGGCTATGAATGTTCTTTATTTAAACTTCCTACTGCTACCTCAAACCTTTGAAAAGAAAAATGGCACATTAAGAATGATGTGACAGAGCACTAAAAAGTTCACTTTTTTGCAATGAAAATGTCATTAAGTGCATGCAAGGCAGCTCACCAGCCTGTTTGTGGGCATGCATGTGTAGGGGTTCTCTGAAGTTTCCTCAACACAAACAGTATCTGAAGTTGCTCATTGCAACCTCATTGCTTTTATTCTGTTCACACAAACTTTGCATATAAGTATTTTTGTCATTAATGACCATGTTAAATGCAACCATTAAATTACAAAATTCAGACACACACGCATGGCATGAATTTATGAAATATTCTGGACACATTTCATTATAGAAAAGTAACTACTTCACAAATATTTGCACTAACAAGGATGAGCACTGTAATGCTAAATATGAAAAGTTTAATCAAACTCCAGTGGATCAAGGCCAGTTCATCTCTACCCTTTTGCTGGCCTACTGGAACCCACCAGCTAGACTTACGGCACATTTCTGGCCAACTACACAGATTTGGGGGAAACATTAAGAACCTTCCACAAAACACTATCCACCCATCATCAGAATCTTACAGCAAAATCACCCTCATGATGAATTACTGATTGCAACTGTTAGGGAGCTGCATAATATCCCAAGGCATGGGATGATATTTATTCTAGCACTGTGCAGTACGTGGTATTAAAAACCCTTTTCACAGTAAATTCCTGAATTTAAATGTCTGCATTAAAAGGCATAACCAAAAAAATACAATGCATCTCGCTATCATTCACTTTTCCTCAGAAAAATTCGTTACATGAAACATTTTATATACCATGAACAATCCACAATCAGTTGTAAACTTTATATATATATATATATGTATGTATATATATGAATAAAACACAAATCTGCATTTTCTATGTAGGCATATCTGAAGGCAGAATGTAGCTAAGATTCACGGCTCAAAGGTTGCTAAGGACTGAGAGTTTCATACAAAGCATGCTACTTACTTTCCATCTGTGTCTGATGCAGCTGCATAGTGTAGAGGTGTACAACCCCTCTCATCAAGGTCATTCACACTAGCTCCAGATCCCACAAGGGCAAACAGGCACTGATAATTACAATTGGCAGCAGCATAATGGAGTGGAGTTCTTTAGTACACATTTAAATAAAAAGTACAATGGTAAATAACAGCAAAATAAGATTATAGAGACAGAAAATGCAAAATAAAATGACATTTTAAAACCCTACTTACACTTATCTTACAAGTATTTGTGCTGAAGAATGTATAAACACAAATATTTTAAATATTTAAGATGATTTTCTTGGAGCCATTTAATAATGCAGAGCATCATCTGGAGGATGAATCTGCCAGCCAATATACACACATATTTTCTGCTATGGGAGGTTTTATACAAATTTTCTTGTGTAAACATACAGAGGAAAATACAGTTTACACTAGAAACATTTTTATAGCAATTCAAATCATTTTAATCCACTCTGAAAAATATGAATAAATCTAATACCCGTTGTCTAAGAAAATACATAGCAACTAAACAAGGTAAAAACAAAACACAACAGTTAACGAGTAGATGTTTTACTACAAAGACATAAGCATTTTATCTAGTTTGCAACAAAGCTGCACGCTTTTTTTTTATTATTATTTACTACCATATCACAGTACTGTCAGAGAAGTATTTTTAAAATTTGTCTTATAACAAACCAATGAAACACTGATGAATTAGCCCAGTTTTAGCTCTTTCTACTTTAAGACAGATTATTGCTACAAATATCTCAATGTCGAAATGCTTTACTGCTTCTTCTGTATGTCCTACCTTTTCTCTCTCCCTTAAATAAATTGAAAAAAACCCACTATTTTTAAGCTATTTAAATCATTTTTCTTCTTCCAAAGTCAATGTTCTACAGATCACATTTAAAAAAAAATAAATACAATGGAAAAAAAAATGTTAATGGGAAAAGTTGAAGAGAAAAGAATGGAAGTGGAACTTAGCTAGATGGGACTTATATCCATAACATTCTCTTCAAGCCCTACTCCTGTCACTCACATCAAGGAAAATCATACTTTCCATGATGTGATTGAAATTTTGCACGAGTACTCATCATGCCTTCCAAACTTAAATCCTCTAATACTAAAAATAGAAATTACTGTAATTCCGAAAGAGTTTAGAGGATGAACAAGGAAAGGAATCAGAAAGAGATGGATGTAATGAGAGGAAAAAGGTGAAGCAGTTTTTAGAAAATCAAGTATATTTTAACACAAGCCTTGGAAACAGCAAAAGAATTACAGTTTTGACTGGTAGGTTATTTGGAAACATTGCTAAAAACTTTGGATGGGAGAAATGTAAACTTGATAGATCAAAGCTAGAAGCAGAAGAGACTTTAAAAAGACAGAGGATGCAGCAATCTTTAGAAAAAGGACTGAAATCTACTTGGCAAAAGATAATAAATAAAATATGTTTTTGCTTTTGGATAAGATATACTCCAGCACAGTTGGCTGTAGTAGCTCTAAGAATTTGTTAGGCATATCATCTCTAAAAGTATTCATACTGGAATATACCGACTTGCTCATATAGCATTAATATGCTATATAAATCACTATGTAGTATTTTAACAGCCCTTAACAAAACACAAATCAAGAGTAAATCTTACCTCCCAAATCTGTCCTTTTTGTTGAAGTCTGCACCAGTATTAAGCAGAAGGTTTAGGCACTCCAAATTCCTATGAAGTTAATGCAACATTGCTTGTGATTGCATATTATATTTCCTTCATATTGGCCTTTCCAAACATCTGAACTGCTACATGTATACATCTCGTGGCATTTTTATCAAACAAAACTATCATAGGAAAATTTAAATAAATATATTTTACCTAGAAAATCCATATAAAAACAGATTTCAAAATTGCAGGAGCAAAACACTAAAGAACAGGTTATTCCAAATCTACATACAGAATGGCTAGCAAATGGCATGCATAAAGCTCAAGAACATTAACCTGGTTTAATAGAATTTTCATTTTTAAAAAAAGATAAAACTTCCTGTCACAAGATGTTTTGCTACTAAGATTCTGGACTAGAAACAATTTTTAATGCATATAATTTAAGGTCAACCAAATGTTGCTGTGTTCTACTGTATTCTACTTTTTAATGATTCATTTCATTTAGATTCATTTTCAATGCGATGCGTTATTGTAACAGATGCAAAATAGTTACTCAAATAAAATCTTAGTAACTCTCCTAAACTTAAGATGAGTGAGGGAATGTAACAAATTATGATTTAAAAAAAGATATAAATTATGATATAAAAAAGATTGTATTTTAACCTTAGATACATTCCTGTTAGAATTGATTATCAAATGCCTTTGACTTTGAACAACCACTCAGTGTAAAGAAAAACGTAAGATCTCGTGCCCCCCAAATTGTATCATGAGAACTATTACCCAATTTTTCTGGGCAGTTTTGAGCATTCACTACAAAAAAAAAAAAAAAAAAAAAAAAAACAACCACACACACAATACAATAATGATATGGATTGCAACTCAAATGATGAACAGCTAGTGTTGACCACTTTATCCATCTAAGATTTAGAATTTAATGATGACATTTTAGTTAGTTTGATCTTTTCTTCAAGAGTATGGTAGAAACAGTTTCCCAAGGAGTTATTCTCCTCCTTATGTCCCAACAGTAATTCTGCAAGGACATGACATACCAGAATCTGGTAAATTTTAAAATTATAGTATTATCCATAGGAAATTAAAATAAAGTCATCGCCAATAATAAACTTAAGATAAGGTTGATGATATCTGCATGCTTTGTTCCTATAATTATTTAAGCTGAATACTTCTGTTTGCCTTTTCCCCACCCTCTACTTTTTTGCTTTTTTTTTTCTTTAAGGTGGAATCCATCTTGAAATTATATTCATATTTATATAAATTCTAAGGGGAGACGTCATAGAGAGGAAATTAAAACAAACAAATAAACAAAAAAACAGTGATAATCAGCAGCTGAAAAGGGCACTAACAATAAAGGCATGACCGCTACATACCCTCCAGCTGCAGCTGCGTGAAGACAAGTCCTCCCAAAATCATCTGGTGTGTCTATGTCAAAACCTACAAAGCAAGTATTACACAGAATCATTATGTAACTCAGCCTTTCCCAAAAAGTGCTCTCAGGTAAACCCAACGGTTCCTCGTAAGAAAGTACTGATGCACTGACAACTGATTTCACTTGAAACAAATACAACAAGCATATGTATAGGTACATAGATATAGATATGTATACCTGTATATTTTGTTTAAACAAAGATATTTAGTTAAAACAAAGGGATAAGGCAGACCATGGCTAATAGCACTAAACCAAAAGGCTGTTTTTGATGATTCTTCCTTATTTATCTGAAAATACTTTGATATTATCAAGAACTGAATATAAAAATATATGAAAGCAATATAACAATTTAAGAATAAGCCAAAATTATTCACTTTATCATTCAGTATTCTGAAGAGTTGTTTTCTTTAAATAAGGAGAGGGATGACAACATCTAGAAACCACTGAAATTCCGTCTTTCACTTTAGCTCTCTAGTCCCAGGCAAAGAACTTTGTTAAACTGGAATAAAGGCCGCCATAGCAATTACTTATAGGGGAACCTTTTAGAGAATATCACTCCTTTCTCCAAACGACAACAAAAAAAAAGAGTGTAAACTATTAGAATTCAAAACTGAGATCACAAATATTACAGAAGCCAAATATTTGAGAGTATTGATATCCATAGTTAAGGTAACAATAGAAGTCTTAACTTTGCTCTGGCATGCCTGCTAAAAAGACCATCCTTAAAACCATATATTAATACCTAAGTAACTGAAAACTAATTCATAGTCTAACTAGCCAACCTTGCCTTTGTTTATAAAACAAAGATATCTCAAGAAATGAAGCAGTAAAAGGCAGTAGGTAAAACCTATACAATCAAATGAAAAACTCTTTGTCAGCCAAATTGTAACATTCAAGACAATCCTCCCTCCCCTCTTCCAAACTGAGGGGATTTACTTATATATTTTTATACCATTTAGCATCCACACACTGCTCCCTATATGATTCTGTACCTGGTGTGCTGCAAATAGGCAATTTATGAAGGTTATACCTGAACTGTAAGACACAACAGAAAAAAAGACAACTCATTTTCCCATGGAACTTAGCATAAGTTCCATGCAGACAAAAGTAATAGTAAATCAAAACAACTGGAACTGTTCATGTTAAGAAAAGCTTATCACATATGGAGTTCATGCTCCTTGTGAAATGCTTTCAGCAAATAAAGCTTCTTCCTTGACACCATTCCATGTCCTTGCCTCCAAATTATTTGAGGTCAAGCAAGCATTTGATGCAAGTCTCCAAGTCTGACAACATGATCCCTAAACACTGAGTCACTAAACACAGTAAGGGAAAGGACAGTGTATAGCAAAGCAACCAAGGCAATGCATAAGGTATGTCGCTTTTACTTTCGTTGCATTCAAATATGTGAGGGAAAACAGTAACAGCAGAAAATTAATCTGCTGAACTCAGTGCATTTCTATAGGTGTCATGGAAGCCAAGAACTTTGAGAAGTTAAAAAGGATCAGACACCATATAAATGATGAAAGAAACACAGGGCGCTAGCCCATAAGGAGCTGAGCAAAACTGTTATGCCTGAAGGCATAAGTAGAAATCAAAAAAAGGATTATTCTATTTTTATCCTGTAAAGTTTCCCTTGTGCACTCCCTAAGTATTTTAAAATCACTCTTGGAGTGAATACAGGTTACTAGATGACTAAATACAGATTACTACACAGAACCTAGTCAGCAAGTAATAACAACCACCTTCCTCCGTGTAAAGGAACAAATCCAACATGGAAAACAAGGTGTGGCTTAAATTAATTAATTCACAATAATTAATAATAATTATTAATAGATCAAGTTGTGCTATGTTCAAGGCATCTTGGAAGAGAGAGGGAGGATGTTGCAAGGTCATAATATGAACATTTGTCCTTCTCTTTGAGATTATAGTCTGAGCCCCCTTTCGGGGGCCTTAAAATTTACAAGTGCAACACTTAAAAAAAATATGGACACATTGCTTCAATTTGGGGGACTTACTTTTAGAAAAAGATTATCCCTGTGGAAGTTTGCATTCACTTAACTACAGAGAGTCCGTTAAAGTAATAAGCACTGTCCCCAGGCTACTAGAAAACTAAAGATTTTTACATGTCCCTAAATTAAAATTTAATTAAAAGCTACTCTAGGGAGTAAACAAAAATAGTATAAAGCAGACCTAAGATTTTAAATAGTATCTTACCTGATGAAAGCAGCTTTCTGCAGCAGTCTGAAAATCCACTTAATGCTGCCAAATGGAGAGGAAACATCCCATGTATACCCCGCCTAAGATACACCATAATCAGGTATCACAGCTTCATTACAATAAAGATAAAACAAACAAAATTGTATGCCAAAGTGCATGTGCATGGTGGGTTCACCAAATTAATCAGAGTAAGTAGCCTGCGGAAAGCTCTTCACATGCTAGGAGCTTTCTTATAAACTAGACAGGATGCATCAATTCAGAGCTGCAGTCAATTAAAGGCTTCAGAGCTTTTATTTCAAATCTAATTTAACGGAAAAGTAATTCTTTCTTTTAGTATCAATTGCAATGTACTATATACATAGTTATTTAAAAGTATAGCCTAGGATAAATATAGAAAACATTCACCACCTCAATTTGAAGAACATATAAAAAATTATAGTAGTCTTGTTAGCCTAATAAATACAACTCTAAATTCTCTCAACTTGCATTTGTGCCAGTAAATGCCACCTACTTTGCAGTGTCAGCACCACTTGTAATCAACGTGTTGATTAATAGCTCATGGCCATATCTAGCTGCTATGTGCAAAGGAGTATTTCCATTCTTATCTTCACAGTCTATTTCAGCTCCTATAATAAAAAATACACAAGTGAGAATATACATAAGGTATATATGCTTTTGTTAGAAAAATGACACTGATGATTTGAGTAACATTAGCAATTGCCCATAAACAGCTATTCTGGCTATTTAATTTACAATGTTTTAAGTGCTATTTAGCATAACAGCTAGCAAAACTGAGAGAAGCATTTTCTTATGTACTTATATGAGAAAACTTTCTGCAACTTGGATTATAGAAAAAAAATAACAACTTTTTCCCTCCATTCAAAAAAATAAGCATTCTCTGATGCAATTAACCAAAATATGTAGGCAGATATATGAGACTCCACCTTTAATTTAAATACTGGACATTGAATACAAAAAACCCCTCAAACTTACAGCACATTGTTACCAATACAAGAGGAAGAAACGATTTCTAGTGTTGGCATGCTGATGACAACTGCTCCCTCCCCCTGCTTACCGTTTTGAATGATGGTCTGAGATCTTGAAAATCTACCATGGATTGCTGTCATGTGCAAAGGTGTCTTCCCATCTTTACTCTGGAAATGAAGAACAGCAAAAAGCTTACTTAGGGCCAGAAATAGTCATCTGTCAGAACTGGGGAGAGGGGAGAAACAAACAACAAACCCTTCCCTTTTACCTGCTCCTGCAAGAAGAGTGCTGGCAGGGACAAGTCAGCATGAGGTGGCAAGCTGTTCAGAAGAGCTACCTTGCTGGCCTAGGCCCAACTATCTAGGCCTAGGCCCACCGAGGCCCAACTTTCTCCCCCCCGTCCAAAACAAAACAAGGAATCGATGAACAACAGAGTTTCTTTCTTAAGAGAAAACAGCTGTATTTATTATTGAGGTTTACGAGTCATGTTAGAAGACAATACACTCAAAATCTCAGGTGTTTCACTGAAATGTCTTCAAAGTGACACGTACGAGTCAGTTATCATAAAGCGGCAGTAATGCTAAGTAAGGTGGAACTGTTCAGTCGTATGGGGTGCTCTACGCTTGGCACACACACCTAATGTGCGCTTACTCCTTCACTCAGGAAAGACATCCTCCAAGGAGGCCAACAGTAGTGCATGAGGGTAGTTCAATTTTCAGTAGCACAGTCTAAATGCACTTTAAAAGGTCATTTTTTCCTATGATTATTGCTTTGGGGTGAAAATTTGTCATATAGTTTATCACAGGAAAGCTTTATTGCTGAAAAGTTTTTACAAATGCACACAAAATAAAGGCAAGCACGACACTCAGAAAATAAAAGCACTCTCAGATGCACGTGTATGCTATGTCCTTACATTTAAACAGTGACTTTGAGAGATATGAATTGTCCGGAAAAGCCAAAGTTTAAAAAAAAATATAAAGATGGTAGTGGAAACTGCAGAGATGGCACTGCAGAGAGCTGCAGCTACTGCCTAGGCTAATGAAATTTTGGAAATATTGACTTCTCAAGTTTAGCTCAGTTATCTCCAGATGTTTTAGCTAACAGATTTCCTCAGCAGTTAATAGGTGAAAAGACACACCAAAGTATCCATAACAGCAGCAAAGAAACACAGAAAAGGGTTGAAATGCACTTGAAAGATCAGACAATAGAATTTCATTTCATTTCAAGAGCCTCTGCTACTTAAAAAAAAAAAAAAAAAAAGTCTGAGTAAGCACAAATCACAAATGACATAACTTCCCCAAATAATCGCTATGCTGTTTCACAGAGAGAACTTTCTTCCAATATCTACCTTTCAACTCTCCCTCTGCAGTGTAATTCCACCATTTTTCCCCAAACCATGAATATTCTCCACGTACAATTATTTTCTTCCTTTAAAAGTCTTTATATACACAACATCTTTTCCCCACTCATTTTTCTTTTCATTTAAGTTAAGGAAACAATTAGTTGAAAGAAAAATGGTTGCATAAAATAGTTCACTTTGAGGGAGTGACTAAAAGCCTGATTTGATAGCTAATGTTGCAGATTTAAAAAGGGAAAACTCTGAGGAAACAATGAACTAAACTAACAAAGTCAACAAGAGGGAGAAGAATTTAAGGGCGCATCTGATGAAACCTGCCATCTCACTGGCGTTGAGATGCTAAATCTGTACCTCAAACAAAGGAAGCTAATAAAAGGAAAGAACATGAAGCAAAAACAATAGTGGATACAAGTATCACTGAATACATTAATAATGTACATCACAAGGACATTAAGAATAACCAAAAATCACAGTATTAAAAACTTAGTGTAATGGTGAACTGAGAACCCTCAAAGTAACTTGAGTAAGATCTTGCACAGGATAGTAAAATAAACATCATCACTGTAAATGAAAAACAAGAGTACAGTCAGCAACAGCAGATCTGCAGATTCACTCTGCTCAAATCTCCTTAAGAAACATATGCAATGCAGATTTCTAAGATTCGAAGGGAGTTGATTATCCATCATCTCTCTCCCCACTGTAAAGGACCCAAGTTCCTGAGACGCAGAAATAGCACAACATGGAATTGTATATCAACATATGTACTTTTATACCTGTTCTGTATTTATGAGAGTGACTAATTTCCATGCTGAAACTGAAATATTGGGGAAATTAAGAATTCCCTTCTTGGCCATTGCCATTAGGAAAAGATATATAGAATCAGAAGGCAGTTTCCTAAGTCTTGAAACAACAGTGCTCAATCTATTGAACAAGAGATCTGTGACAAGTTTCCTGAGGAAGCAGAAGGTTGCACAGCATAACCAAGGAGGTCTCTTCAAGACTGTTGTTTCCATTTCCTTTTATTCTGCATTTAAGATATTCCATCTAAACACGAAATGACCTATCTCTGCCAGATATATTAGATCAGGCAGCATCTATGGGCTAACGGTTACCCTTGTAGTACTCAAGATACAGCGTCAAGCAAGCTCTCGGACACTAACCACATTTCAGCCGATCGGTTTTATTATGTAGGGTCAGGGCAGTGCAGCTCTGTGTGGCTACAATACTCCTCCAAGCAAGACCTCCCCCAGCAACAATTCTGTCATTGCAGTGTCACAAGTGGAAGCAAAATATGTTTTGATTTAGGTCACTTAATTATCAAGCACCAAGCTGTCCCATTACCTACTTATTTCTATGTGTTTTTCTACACATGGAAAACCTGAATGGGTTTTTCAGGCTGCTGCAGTAACAAGCAGTACCTAACAGGATTTACTGTTCTACAGGACTGCATGAATTCTGACTAAGCTAAAACAGCAAGACTGAGAAGAACAAACCACTTCTAAAGTTCAACACTTCTGCCCTTCTATTATCTTCTGCTACATATCCCCTCTTGAAAGGAAGCCAACGTCCACAGATATGCCCAAGCACTTACACACCATCTGTCATCAAGAATATAATTTTGAGACTGATCATCTGCTTTCCCAGCTAGGTCATCCACAGCAGAGAGAGCTCTGACAGTGTTCGCTAGCCTGCACCAAGATTATAACCTGCTCTAAAAACACTGAAACAGCTGCAGCTGGGACAGAACTACTGAATCAGATTGCACAAGCAGTAACATTTTGAGGGACAGATAAATACTGTAATTAGCTGGTTTATGACACTTGTAAGAACCTGACCTTCGGCCTCAGCAGGTGAAAACTTAGCGCAGCTCCATTTCACTAACCAATACGCAAGAAGGCTCGGAAAGAGAAACATCCATTTGAATGCTTCAAATTAGCAGCTACACAGCAGATTCTAAATCCATTTCACTTTCCTATCCTGTTACGGATTATTTCCTTCACTTAAGCTTTTTCTTTGTAGGCCTTTTATGTGAGCAAAAGCTGACTTGGAAAAGGTTTTTTTTTGCTGCAGGTCCTGCACTTTTCAAAAATAGAGATGATTAAGTTTTCATATACAAGGAAAGCTATTCACACCTTCAGGCCTCATTTTTTTCTCTGTTTTACCACAATTAATACAGAGAAAGGCCCACCAACTGAGTTACAAGGGAGACATATGCTTATGTCCACACAAGGAACAAATGATTGCAAGTTGTAATTCTTTCCCCTACATAACCTTACTTTCTTAATTTTGCAGTTAATATTTTTGATACTTAGTAACTCAACACGTTTTAGTTACAGATAGCCTATAGTTAAGGCTGCTAATCCTTCCCACTGTAAAGACATTTCTTTATGAAGGATATGTCTTCAAAGCATAAGCAGTAAATCTTTATCAGGTTCACCTAAACTTCTCAGCTTCACACTGGATTTTCCAGCCTTCTCACTATCAAGTTTCAGCAAAAATGATTCTGCTGTCTCAAAATACGCTGAAGAGGAGAACTTGGTTAATCCATATTAAACCTTCTGATTTGTAATTTGGGAAACTGTCAAATCATAACTTTGGCTCTAAAAATTTTAGATCAAGTGGGAAGGAAGGTCATAGTAACTCCCCGGTGTCAATGCATCTCATGTCACCTCTGAGAGGTCATCTACAAGACAAACCTCTAAATTCAGGAGCATCTTCTGTCACACTGTAAAAGCATTAGCCATTCTTTGCAGAATTTCTGAAGTTTTTATTGCCATAATTGACTAGATTTAGTCAGTATCTACAGTGTATGTCAAGTAGTGTATAACACAGTTAACAGATTCCTGTTTTAAGTTCAGGCCTAAAGATTATAGTGCAGAATATTTGACAGAATAATCAATACTTTTAATTCTCACTCCTTATCTCCAGTTACAGTATATTTCAAAATGATTACCTGGAATCCCCCCACCCCTACTATTTTCTAGACACCCTTCTAAAGGGAACTCCTTCCCACTCGTCTTCTGTATCAGTTAAGGTTCAAGTTTGCAGAAGCAGCAGGTATAAAGAACTCTCTGCAGTTTGTAAGCAGAGTAAAAGTAGTTCTTTATTTATAAGTATTTATGCTTTTCTTTTGTTTATATTTGTGTATGTAACATATGTACATAACCAACTGTATATTTTAACATTTTTAAATTACTCTCCAACTTTCAGTGGGCCACAGATTTTGTACTAATAATAAACATTTAATTGCATTTTAGAATTAGTCAGATGAAAATCGGTGTAAACTACAAAAAGTGAGCCAGAAAACTATGTTTTAACAGAAATTTTGGCTGCTTATATTCATCTCTCACCCAAGTCATACTGAAATGAAGACAGAACACAGCCAGACAAGAAGAATCCCCCCAACAGATACTTTTCTTCCTGCTGCATATGAGAAACTGTACAGACAACAGAAAGCAAGAGGAGCCTGAAAACTTTTCATTTCATATACTCATTTCCCGATTCCCTCAGACTGTCACGTCACCAGATATTGACACAACAAAGTTGATGGTTTCATTACTAAAGCAAAAATTAACTTCATAACGAGCTTTCCCACCTCCTTCATATGTTTCAAGATTTACGTTACATGCACAAGAATTAAATTAAATATTTATGTTATAGCTTGGTTTTACACTTATGTGGATTAGAAATTCTATCTAAACTAAGACTGGATTCTAGGGAATATTATGCAGCAAACGAGTTGCTTGTCAGCACAGATGTTGACAAGCCTGCATAATCTGCTCGCAAAGTTTTACTGGACAAAAATCAAATCTCAACTGTTTAACTGTCCCCTGCTATTTATTATATTTTATAATCTTGTGTTACCAGGTCTTTAGCTGATCCAGAAATCAGCCTGTTCAAAGATATTTTAGAGGAATGCATATGATTTATTTTATGCTGCTTATTTACAGGACAAACACATGTTCTTTTGAATACATCCTTTTAATTTTGTCTTACTGAGATGGACAGATTAGGAACACAAGATGACGTAGCTTTAGACATTTAAATACAGTCAAGGAGGACTGGATAGTATTGTCATCTTTCCTCTCCATCCCTTTGGACTATTTACTACACCCCTTTGAGACATTTCAGATGCAGACTGTTCCTTGAAGCAAGATGCTGTCATATTTTTATATTCCAAAGAATATATTCCAAAGTATTCTGCAATCTCAGAAGCAACTTCTAAATGTTACTGTAATAACTGTGATAAGTTGCCTCATAACCATGTGTTACGTCCTCAAGAGGGAATGGATGGCTTTGGAGGTACCTACCTTCATATTTACATCTGCTCCGTTGCAGACCAGAAGTTCTAAACACAACGCCCCATGTGTCGACGCAGCAGCAAAGTGCAAGGGTGTAAAACCTTTCTCGTTCATTTGATTTACATTAGCACCACAGTCTATGAGTTCATTCACTACAACGTCTTGCCCATTGTAGCAAGCTACATGTAAAGGGGTATTTCCATAGGCATTTGGTTCATTCATCTGTCAGAGAAAAAAAAAAACACAAGATTAGTTAGCTAAAAAATGCCTGTGTTCCTACAGCATTAGAAAAAAAAACCACAAGATTAGTTAGCTAAAAAATGCTGTATTCCTACAGCATTATCATTAGGAAACAAATGTCGTAAGACAGAATTTCTTCATTATGTTCTAGGACACTTCAAAACCAGAAATTAAATGCAAGTTCTGGATGAAATTCTTTGATTAAATATTACATAAGAGTTTTGTTTTATTTTGTTTTTAATCTGGGAGAACAAAAGTAATGATCTTAATTCATCCTTATGTCGTGCTACCCTCTCTGGTTGTGAGAAAGGAACATTTTTTAAATGTGGAAATAAAAAGTTTTGACACCTATGCAATCGGCTTCACATATCTAACCTTAAGCCCTGAAATACTTCAGGATACTGTGATGCTGTGGTAAGTACATTACTTTCTATATTTGAGCAGATGGTAAAAAATCATAGTAGAGAATTATTCCCTTTATTGGTTCTGTGGAGCAGTTACACATTTCTTTTATTCCTCCCTCTCTCTGCTTAAGCCTCCTCTAATCCATTTTTAGAGATCCCTTTCAGGTCTCATTCTCACTTTTCCCACCTCTTTTCTAACCATATGAGAGTTCTCTCAAGCTAGAGACTAAAAATTCTTTCTTCTACATTGCACATTCCTTTTTTTTTTTTTTGCCATATGTCATTGGTCTCTTTATATCGTGCCAAAGAGTTTGTCCCTGAATATTCTCCTCTAGTTTACCACTTGTATCCTCCCTCCCTATGCCAGGGATTCCCAGGATTAAATCCATTCCCTCTGTATTTCTTAAGTCAGGATCTATATTCTGTTCTATATTCATCACTAAGTTTTTAATGTTTTTAATTACTAAAACTATTTTTGTTCTTCCCTCGAGATGAGTGGACCCATTCCCCTGGTGCTGAGATCCCTCACTTTTTCCCAATAGATACATCAGGAGTTCTGGATTCCTCATTCTCCAAAGGACAAAGTAGATTAATTCCAATGTGGATAAACCTAACAAAGAAGACTTCGCTCCAGTTGTCTCCACACCAATTTCCTGTAATGAAGTGTTCAACTTCACAGAACACACATATTAAAAGACCTGCAGGTTCTTCTGAGTTTAACAGAAATGTTGGATATAAACTGCTGCTAAAGTGTAACCTACACACTTACGTTTATAGGTGTCAGTGTTTAAGTATCCAAGTTGGAAATACTAAACTTGAACTCTAAACAAACAAGACTCTTTAGTACCTATTTCCTTATTTTTGGGAAAAAAAAAGTTGCATACAACATGATACTGAATTCTGATCTCCAGCCATGAAGAAAATACAACTTCAGCAGCATTGCTCCAGTTGTAGAAGACTAAAACGTGACACGCAAGATACATTTCTTAGGCAGTTTCAAAGTTCTCTAGCATATTTTCTACACGTAAGTACTATACAGACTTTCATTTTATTTTGCACTTTCTTACTATAGTATTAAAATTTCCCATAAACTATAATATTTCCAAAACTAACATGATTTAGGAAAGTCAGTAACATCTACATTTTACAAAGAACTGATGCAAAAAGAGTTTAATTTCCTGCAGGTCAACAAGGATGTGTATGGCAAAGCTAAGAACGGAACTCTATTTCCTGAGCTCTAATTCAATGCATTATGAGAAAAATCAGCACAAAGGAACAAAGAAACTACTAAGTATATTTTTTCAAATAAAAAACTGCAAAAAACTCTCAAGTTAACTTTATAGTTAGCTTTATAGCTTTTAGCTTTATAACCAAAAATAAGAATATTGAATGAAGATCCTTGAAAATATATTCTAAGCTCCTATTAAAAAATCATAAATAAACACTGTACTATAATACTAATAATTACATTTCAAAAACAAAACAATGGAAGAAATATATTGCTTGATTTCATTTGTCCTTACATCAACTCCAAGATCTAGAAGATACTTGACCACACTGATCATCCCACTGGATGCTGCAGCATGCAAGGGTGTATACGATTTCTTGTCTTTGCATGTTACTTCAGCTCCATGGGCCACTAGGAGTTTCACAACTTCAATGTGACCTAAAACAATAAAGACAGTGACATGAAGCTGCATTTTAGATTAACCAGAACAAATTACAAAATTAATAATTGCACAATTATTAAAAAATGAACAGACATTATTCATTTGAACCCAATGTGGAAAATATAGAATTGCATTTGTTTGCTTTTTTTTTTTTCCCCATGTAGTCTCCAGAAGAAGGTATAATCACACAGAAAAATGACCCAAACTACCACAGTCTTTTCTACTGCAAAATCAATTTAAATAGTCTTGTCTTCTGCTCACTGAAGGATTTTTTGGAAGATTTGAGGACTGGTGAGGTGACACAGCTTTGCAGATACTAAACATTTGCTGCAATTTTCTGTTAAAAATTTGAGAAAGAATTTGACTATCAGGCCCCCAAAATTACCAATTTCCTTTACTTGCAAAACTTTAAGAACTTTATACAAACAAAACTTGAAAAACTTTATACTTTATATAGGAACCACGGCTGTATTTTCGAGACCGACTTAGGCCTTTCAGGAATCTTAGCCTTCTGAAAGTGGCAGCTACTCTCCAAAGTCACAGGGAGTGCAGGAGTCAAAAATACCCAAACTTGGGGCGGAGGGGATGAGTTAGAAGATCCTCAAGAGAAGAGGGAAAAGGGGAAGGGAGGGCAGAGCACCCCTGTGAGACGGCTGGTCTCCCACCCAGCTTTGGGACTGCTCTAGGGCGCTTAACACCAGGCTCTTCTTGCAAGGCAGAGCCCAGCCTTCCCGCTGACGGTGCCTGCAGGGCAGCACCAGCTTTCAGGCAGTCATCATGGGGTGCTCTCTGAGGGAAACTTATTTATTTATTTAAGGAAATTAGGAAAAAAATTTCATTCCTTCTCAGTTTTCAAATTAACTGCCAAACTGGTTACTGGAAACGCCAGAGCGAACGCCCCGCAGCCAGCCATGACCCGAGACAGGCTGCCAGGATAACGCAGCACGCCGGGCTGCATCAGCCCGCCACACATTTTATGCTTTCCTTTGCAGCTGAGTCATGCAGAGGGGGATTTTTGCCTTTACCTTTAAAGCAACACTATCTTAGTTAACAAAGTGGTGGGAGCATGCTGAATAGTTATGTTTAACCGGTCACTATAAACTGCAAGGATGGATTTGATTCACGGTACTTAAGAGCTTTATAAAAGTTTAAGATGTTGTTTTTCTACAGTTAAAAACAGTCCAAAGCCCGAAAAGGAACTGTCCACTCAACACAAAGCAACACACGCCAAGCTGTTCTCACAGCCATGCAGACAACGTGATGCACGTTCCCTGCTGCGTGCCCCCCAAAATACATAATTCCCCTTCACACAGCTATGCAGAGCAGAAACATATGGAATTGAAGCCTGCATTGTGAAGTGCTGCAGTATTTCACTTCTGAATTACTTTCTTATTGCAGGAGAGAAAAAGGAAGAATACATTAAACAAAATTATTCATGTCATGACCCAACTGTAAAGGAGAAAAGAACAAAAACAAGCCCTGAGCAAGGTAAAAGTGTGAAAGATACTGAAAGCAGTAAAAGGAAAAGAGATATTTAACAGGACAGTTGCAAAAAAAAGAAAATAAAAAAAAACAAAATAAAGCGAAGAACACACACACAAACAAAAATCCCTGACCTGCATTTAAAACGCAAGCAGCAATCAGTGGAAGACACCCAAAGAGAAGAGCGAGACGCTTCGGAGAGCGAGCACTCGGGAGACCAAAGCACAACTGAGGGCTACGCTAACCACCCCACGAAAAAAAGTCCATTTTAGCTGCATTTAGCACTGCAGCCAGGCAGCAATGGAGCTGGGTGAAAAGCAGGAAGGAAGGGAAACAATGGGTATAATCCTATAAAGTTATTTATAGCAGAGTGACTAATAACATGACTTTTTTCTTCTTCTTCTATGGGCCATTTTATACAATGGAAATGCTTTAAAGTTGTCTTCAAAGAACTAGACCAGTGTAAAATGGCTTTAAATTGTGAGAGAGAAAGATTTATTCTGCAAAGAGAGCAGTTTGTAATTCTGCTTTTGCGTGAATCCAGATTTGTGAGATCACTTTTACAACTATTAAGACCTAACAAACAAGCCTAGTTTTGCAAACACATGTTTGTGCATTGGTGAAGGCCAGAATTTTCAGGCCTCAGACCAAGGCATATTTCATACAATGAACAACTCAGCAGCAGCCCACTGAAACCATTTTGCTGAAAGAAAATTTAAAGAAGAGAAGTTAATACGCACACACTGCTGCTCTTTCACTTAATATTGCTCAGGAGGTAAGATTAAAATCACATTTCCCCTTTGAAATTATTGCTTCCATTTACTGTTACACGGCAAGATTGGGAAACATTGCAGTTAGAACACTCAATGCCACCACTTTTTTGTTTAATTAACAAAAAAGTTTTAATTTTTTTAAGACAAAAAAATCTCCTGCCATACAGACACATTGCAACACCTATGTTATACCTATGAGCAACTGTCTGATGTATAATTATGACTATTAATGCAAAACTACATATTGAGGAACTTTTTGCCTAAAATCAGACCTCAACGGCAAAGTTATCCTAGACTTAACTTTTAAAAACCAAGGATACATGCGCACAGTCTCATTTCTTCCTCTGTGAGGGAAAAACCACATTCATAACCTAGTGATAAAAATGTTTCAGGATATATTTTTCTTCTTTTCCAAGCTCTGTTTGAAATAATCATAATTTAAGAGTAGTGTCTCTAGGGTTAGTACAGAAATTGCTTTTCTATGCTTAAGGGCAATGTAAGGAATCCAAGTACTCCTGTAGCTGATAGGTTATTAATCTTCCAGTTTGATACCAGATATAGCAAAATTAGTTTGTTTTACTCTGGCAAGTGTCAGTATTGAAATTTTTTGCTTCATGCACTAAGTTCATATCTGTCAGAAAATCAAGGTGTTCCCTTTTAATTAACAGCAAAAGGCTTTCGCTTTCTCTGTTATGGTAACTTCAACAAAATGTTCGCTTCTTTAGATCAGCTGTACAGAGAAGCTGCTGCAAAGAACAGGACTATTCTCTTTTCTTAAACTTATTTCCATAAGATGGTATCTTAAGCCTATGTTTAAGCTATAGCTATTCATTTTCCATGCATTTACAGATTTAGGATGTTAGAAGCAAAGTCTAGAACCTCTAAACCTAACAGGAACAACAGATCACAGCCCGGTCCTTGTTCCACCTTTGTCTTAGCAGAAATTCCCAGGCATGCAGACCACACAAAACTCGTGTATGTTTTTATTCTTCTCTCCCTGGCTGAATAAAACCACAAGGCAGGAAGCTACAGTCTGCACTATGATCTAGACAATGGAACCGCTTTTTTCAACTGGCATTTTCCCAAAGTAGGTATTACAAATCAGCAGTGAGCAGCTAAGTTTCAATATCAATTACACACCTGAAGTGTGTTTTTAGACATTTTCTGGAAGTACATGCCCTGCTGCTGTTTAGAGATCAGGCCAATGCCACTAACTCTTTACACCCAAACCAGAGAAAATATTTTTTTTAAAAAACAAAGACAGCTGGTGCCATGCTCTAGGAATTAAAAGTGTTTTTTGGCAATATAGAGTATCATGCAAGTACACAGGTGCCAGAGTTAAAAGAGGCATTATGAAAAGTTTTAGCTTCTGAACAGGTACAACACATTCTGCAGTGATGAGTGCCACCAGCAGCTACATGTGAATCCCCAAAGGGGATGATGAGCCCAAGCGCAGCAGCGTCTGCCAGTGCCCAACCACAACGAGGTCTGCACCCTCCGTGAGGCGCCTTGCAGGGCTTGCTCTGTTTCTGTGAGGCTTGGGATACAAAGGTGGTTGTTTGCTATAGCTATGCTGAGGAAAGCAATTCCTACTGCTTAATATAATGAAAGCTTGACATGCAATGCATCTAAGCAAGTACATCGTTCTGACAGTATTGCCAGCACATCAAAAATACCATGTGAGAAATAGCTATGAGCTCCTGAATACAAATGACAAGCCAAGAATTTTAATTTTAGAATTTATACAGCTTTCTGTTAAAATACAATCTCCCAGGTTGGCATAGCCATCCTCTTGTTGAGGTCTCCTGTATCTGTTTTCTCTTCACTCAGCTCTCCCAGGAGTTATTTAGCTTTATTGAAAAAGTTTTCAGCTACAATTAGACTTCTGCTGAGCTAGGAACATGTCTCTTCTTTTTAAAGAATAAAATTCTTTGCCTTAGTTTTCTTTTTTCAAGCAAATTAACATGCTGATTTTCCCACCACAAAAACACATTACCAAGGCAATTTAAAGTACACTGCTAATGGTTTTCTGGCAGATACACAGATAATCTCAAAACGTACATATTTTTCTCAAAGGCATAAAAATAATAAGCAATAGGTTTTTTTTTTTTTTTACCATCACAATAATAATCAATGGCAAATATGTACGTACCCATATAGGCTGCCCAGTGGATAGCTCGTCTATCTTTCTTGTCAAATGCATTAATATTGGCCCCTCTAGACAACAACAAGCTGACCATCTGAGTTAAAAGGAAAGAAAAACAATCTACTCATACGGAAAAATCATTTAAAAGTTAGACAAAGAAAATCACACAGCAGAAAACAAATATAATTGAATCTATTTAAAACACTTCTATTTACTCTGGTTTTGAATATTCTGAATGTTTAAATAAATTAGCTGACCACACTGGTGGGAATAATGAAGTGACTAATAAATAGTCTAAGCAAATTAATAGTCTAAGTAAACAAACCATTTCTAAGTTAAAATATGGCAAAGCTGTAGGATATCTGAGATCATTTGGGTTTTATTAAGGGATGCACTAAAGGTAATCAGGAAAAGCAAGCCTACTGCCAATTCGTCTCCATTTACAGATACACATACAATTACAATGGGAATAGGATTTTTTCAGGGCTTACTTATCACGGGTTTAATAACTAGTGAGTTTTGGTATATTATATGTATTTCCTCCACTTTCAGTGGCAACACATTCTGTACATTCACTACCTACTGAACAGAAAAATACCTTGCCTTATCTGTTTGAAACGTATCCTCTACTAGTCAGAACTCCAGCTAACTCACACAAACACATTTGCCAAAAAAGGGGAACACTGTAATGACCTTCCAGCTAAGTGCTGCAATGTGTATTTTCTATACACTACATTATTAAACTACACGCAGATAAATACAAAAGAAAAATTCAAATATGAAATATAGGTTTGTTTTCCTTGGTGGGTGGCAGGATGGACAACTTGATTTGTACCTCAGAAATCAAGTATTAGAAATAGGGTAGACAGAAAGATGACTGTGAAACAAGCTAAGAAAAGTAACACATACCTCAACATGTCCACTGAAGGCTGCATGATGTAATGCAGTTCTACCTGCTCGATCAGACACGTTTACATTGCTTAGGAGAGGCACCAAAGCTTCAGCACATTTCACAGCTTTATTTGCAGCTGCTATATGCAGGGGGGTCTGCCAGTTTTTATCACGAGCATTAACATCTGCTGAATGCTTTAACAACACCTGGACAGCATCCTGAAAAGATTCACAGAAAGAACAACCTACTTCAGTACAGGTTTGAAATGCTTTATATGCCTTAAATCCATGTACAACATATCAGAATTTAACTACTTTTTATTTTTTAAAACCATATTCTCATGTTTTGAGATTTGTAGTTTATCATACAGCCAGACTTGGGTATGTTCTCCAGGACACGAGTGATACAAATGAGTCAAATCAGTCATGGATTCCAACGAGCCAACCATTTCCAGGTGCTGTTTCAAGTTCCTCGTACAGATTGGTAAGTGGTTTTGCCATTACACTTAACTCCCAAAGCTCAGTGAAGCTCCTCAGGATTTCCTCCATTGCTATGGATTAATGGATTTGAACTTACAGTCCATTTTCATCAGTTTGTCAGGCACTTATTTTTAACTGTCAAAGACCAGAAATGGCAAAAAGGCATGGACAGCTTCTTAAATGTACATTTAGAGAGTCACCGCAGCATGAAGTGCTACTGCACGACTTCCAGCTCAAAAACTGGGTACAAAAATAAACGGTTGGTACTTCAAACACACAAGCACTTCCTGGATATCTCAAACTGCACTGAGGTACAAGAGCTAAGCGTTACCCTCACTCACAAATAGAATGTTAAATAACACTGAAATACATTTATTGTTGGACCTATAATATAAAAATGATAATTGCTTCTGTTTTCGAATGCAAATAACATAAAAGTTAAAATGCTCTCTCATTAACTTGTGATTTAAATGAGGAATGAAATAGTTTCTGTTCTATGAGAAATCTAAGTAGATTTAATATTTTAAAGTCAATTGATAATCAATAAATTCATATTTTCAATTTTCGGCTTTTTTTTTGAACCAAACATTAGGAAAATTATCATTAGAACAAGAAAATTTTAGAAGAGCTATTGTTCCACTTTTGGAAGGAAGCACTGCAGTATTACTATATAAATAATTTATCTTATATTCTTCTATATGCATGCACTAAATGAATCTCAAAAATCAGCGAACCAGCTTCCTTTCTGTTTGGTTTTTGCAACACACAGCAGGCACACAGAGAAAGGAGAGCAAAATCCTTAACTCCAGGTACTTCCAAGTTACGTCCTTGCCTGATTGCAACTGCCCTTACTTCAAGGGTAAATCCAGGTAATGTTACATATGCTGAAGCCCTTATCAAGGCTCCTTTTGTTACAGCCTTTTCATCTAAAGCCTAAACCAGTCTGAGTTTGCTAGTAGAAAAACTGCTTGCTCAGAGCAACCACCTCGCCACCCTCCTGTACGGTCTCCATGTTTAGAAACAGCAAATTCAAGCATGCTCCCATCATTGCTTTTCAGAGAAACATCTTGATTGTTTTACATGTTTTGTTTGCCTTTGGTTTGTAAGGGCATGGCTACATTTCTTGAAGCTACATGGATACACTTCCTGCCTGCAGTGCTCTTCTCTGTGAGCTTTCCTGTTCCAGTGAGCTCTCCCTGTCCCAGGGCTCCAGAGAAACTCGGATTTGGTGCTTCAGTCAGCTCCCAAAGGAGCAGCCTGAAATACCTCAGAAAGAACAAATGGTATTTTGGAATAAAGTTGCCTTGGAGATTTGTTTGCAAACACCTTTTTGAATTACATGATCTCCATATCACAT